GTGTGTGTGTGTGTGTGTGTGTGTGTGTGTGTGTGTGTGTGTGTGTGCGTGTGCGTGTGTGTTTGCTGTAACAGGATCCAGAAGTGGCCAGCTGTGGTTACAGGGCTTTGGCAGATTTTCCTGAAGTGGTCCACACAATAAATCTTCTTCCTGAGGCAGTAAGAGTCAACAGTCTCAAGTATTACATTACATTACACATTGAGTAGTTTCTCCCCACACACAACTTTCTGTTAGCGGATTTTCTTTCCAAGTGTGTAATGCAAATGATTATGTGTGGTATGATATGGGAAACTTAAAGGGAAAACCTGCCACCTATTATGTGGACGTCCAATCAGTATTGATGGTGACTGTAGTCGATAGAAGCAATGAATTCCTTAATGCTGCTATATTGACCAGGAAAGCTGAGCTGCAAAATCGGTTGTACTTCCTGCTTCCAGTGCCGTCATGTGATGTGACAATGATGCAGTTGGAGGTGACGAAGAACCACAGATTGTTTCAACTTGGATTCACCTCTGGGTAGACCCGTAAAAATATAACTTCTTGGTTCACTTCATTGCAAAGAGCGAAAATCCCAAAATTTGAGAGCAGAGGATGTTGCGTAGGATACATTTCGTAGTGTTTTTGGCTCACTTGAATATTCGGTTCTATTTATGGGAGTATACGGCTGAAGAAATACAGCGGCGAGGCCGAGGTTGTGCATGAAGATATGGCCAAACGGCGGGGACCCTCCAGGTGTCAGGAGCTTGCGTGCAATGCATTCTGGTACATGTAGGCACTGCTGGCATGTCTCTCTGAGCAGCAGGACTCAGCTTTCTGGATAAATATAGCACACACTGAGGAATGTATTACTTCAATCGTCTACATTCACCATGGCAAGGGTGGCCCCACTATGATGCTCAAATATCCCATAAAGTATTCAATGATTTCTACATCACATGGCATTTCATCAAGCACAACCAGTAGGTCAATGTTTTATTTTGTGTGTCTGACATCAATTGTTTATCAGTTTACAAAACCTCAGAATAAACTGGGAATGCACCTAAAATAGAATTGAAATACACTGTAACACTAACTAGATATTATCTGTAGAACCCTTGGTTCTACTTCTATGAACTGTTCATAGAATTGTAACGGTCATTTAGATATTGGTCTATTTATGGATTATGATTTGACCCTCTATAGATTACTGATCAGTTTTCTTCCCATAGCTCTTCCCCTGAAGGTGGTAATACGTTTCCCATCTTTTTGATCTTCTGTTAACATCGTTTTGTTGGTTCTGCTGCTCTGTAGGCCAGACCAGCTACAAAGGCCCCTGAGAATGAGGAGGATGAACAAGTGAAGGAGGAGGAGGAGGAAGAGAAGGATCTCTCCATCCCAGGTTCATCTTATGTGAAGCTGATGGCTCTCACCCCCGTGTCTGTTCTGCCAGGTACATCACGTTGTGGTCAAACATCTGGCTTCATAAAGGTGCCATGGCGCTTCCAACTGGGCCAGATGAACACAATGGGCAGTGTTTGTGGTGGAAAGCCAGTGAGGGATCATTTTGGAGGAAGATGAACCTCTGCTCCTGTTCATCATTGTTCAGTCTTACCTTACAGTTCTCCTCCTTACAGACTCTCATTTAGATCTTTTCTTCTCAGCCTTCGAGCTCTTCCTGACCTCACTGGTGAAGCAGGAGATGAGCCAGATGCCACGGGGAGTGTACTTCTCTGCCCTGAGGGGGGGGAATCTGCGTTCAGACCAGGGCAAAACCATGGCCGGGATTCCGTCATTCATGCTGAAAACCTATGAGAAAAACAAGCAGCCCGGGCTGAAGCCTGGGCTGGCAGGTGAGCAAATCCATCCACCTGCAAATCCACCTGTGTGAAGCTTTAGATGTTACATATTTATGCCTGGATTATATTTTTGTGCTGTCTGTCTGTCCGTGCATCTGGCACACACATCCACCTGGGCTCAAGGATGAACTTAGAATTTGGTGGTCAAAGGTCATCAGAACTAAACATGTTCTGATGACGTTTTGGACAAACATGGATGTAAACTGCAACTCTACTGCGAGGCGGTAATTCTAGTTTAGTGTTGGATTGTATTATATTGTACAGGTGTTTATGTTATTGTGACCACCCTCAGGCTTGTATCTAGATGGTACCCCACAATTTGAAAAAGTCTCACGAGATGTATAAGGTTGGGCATTGACCTGGAGTGGTTAAGGTTAGGATAGGCTGTCAGCCAGTGAGTCTTGCGAGAGTTTTTTCAATTGTGGGTTACCATCTGAGATCCACCCTCAGCTACTGGCTTTAGGTTGTTACTTTTTTACATGTTTGCATTGGTTTGGTTCTGGAAACGTGTCAAGCCATTGCAGTATAAACAGACATGTTTTGTGTCCAGTATTTGGACAGGACTACTTCAATATGCTGTGTGAACAGGTTGTCTGATCAGAGACTAAACTACCGGGCTTGCAAATTGACAGTTGGCAAGCAAACTACAGTGGCCTTCTGGTAACATAAAACCACTAGCTGTTCTCTCTAAAGCCAGTGTTTGGTTTGTCCATTCTGGGCTACTGTAGTAAGATGGCGGTGTATTACGGCAGACGCTGTGAAGAGAACCTGCTCCCTATGTAGGGACTCATTCTAAACTAAGGAATATAAAATGATGCTTAGTCTCAGGTGATTATACACTACTGAAAACATAGTCATGAATATTATGTTCCATGTCTGCTAATCCATATCCCAAAATACTACACACTGACCCTTTATGGTTTTCATTTTCCGTGTTCTTTCACTTCCAGTGTGCAATTACAAAGCTTCTATAGTTAATTGTGTGTGTGTGTGTGTGTGTGTGTGTGTTGTAGCTGGACTGCTGCTCTGTTACGATCTGCCTGTGCAGACGGACCGTGAAGGCAGACAGATCGATCGTTTCCTCGTCAGCCGCAGCCGCAGCTACCAGCAGACCTTGGCAGCCCTCATTCATGAAGTACGTGTACACCAGTTCCTCTCTACCTCTCACGCTCCTCTTTGGTTTTAACTATTTCAAACTGACCCAAACAAACTCTTGCCTGCTTGTTGTTTGTGATGTGCAGGTGAACATTCAGCCGTCCGAGTGGCACCGTGCTCTCCTCCTGCCTCAGGCCTGGAGAGGTTTCATGAGCCGAGCTTTCCACGCTGTCCTACAGGTTTGTGCTGCTGGCAACTGATAGAGCGATGACATGTTTATTGAAGAAATGATCAATACTGCGTGTGGTTCGCGAGAGGACACCGTCTCCATGCACTGTTATGTAGAGCAAGGAGATTCATAACACTGTGTACTGAATTGAGAATCCACCAGAAGTACACATGGGTATGGAAGTCTTTGGCTCCCAATACACACATTTATTTTCATTTTTTATTTTATTTAATCTGATTTATTTAAATTATTTTAAATTTGTGTCTGCATGATGTAAACCCAAAGAAAACATGGGCGGGTAATAAAACAAGCTGAAATGGAGTCTGAAAATACATTTTCCACCTATAAAATAGGAGCTTCTATAACTCGATGACTCTTTTATAGTCTTGTAGAGTAGGTCACCTGCTCCAAATCATAGATATGTCAGATTCTTTGGGTCCACTAATTGCACTTGGGTGTCTCGGGCTTTACCCAGTTAATAGTAACACACATCATTGGTGTGGTTGGTAGGATCTGCAATACATCATTTGCAGCCCTTCCCACTAAGCCCTCAGGTTTGACCTCTAATAAGGCGATGCGTTGGTCTTGAGGGTGTCTGTGTGGAAAACCTCTCAAAGAGCTCGATAAACCTCTTCCCAGAGTGGTCGTTTTGAGAACATGACCAGAATATGTGAAGATGATTTCCTTAAAGGTTTCTCCAACGTGTGTCGGTGTGTGTTGGGCCCATCTTATTATTATTATTATCGGTGGTGTTCCATATTATCAATAATTCTTCCCACGTGTTAGTGACCAAGTGTGCTTCAGAGCATATTACATCTCAGCCTCCCATCTTTCTTTTAATTTGTACTGAATTATTTGGGTTCATAAATAAATGATGCTAATGTAAGCTAGAGATAACATTTTCCCTCATCATTCCTCAATTGTAAATGTATCAAGCATTTCTCTGGTCCTGTGGGATTTACATTTCTTTACAATGTTTTGATAAAAATGTCTGTATTGTGAAAACCTAAAAGAGTCACTTTCAGGAAGGAGAATATCATTTCTTAATTGTTCAGATGGCTTCAGATTGTCCCTTTCACACAGTTAGTGCACATAATCAAGTCCATATCTGACCATCTGTTGAATCTTATATCGAATTGAAAAGGTGAAATCTTTCATTTTGCCTGTTTGTCAGAGGAGAGATTAATGTGGAGAGCCTAAATGAGTATCGTATCTCTCTCCATGAGCATAAGGTGAACATGTGTTTTTCATGCAGCTCAGGTGGAAGTTGCTGGCATTGGCTTAAGTTAAACCATGAGATCTCTTATCCACACAGTTAGAGGTTTTAGTTGTACTGCCTGTAAAGTACTATCTAAGATGTGGAAGTCCTAGACCTCCTGCCATTTTGGAAAGTTACAAAGGTTTAAGTCTTCTTGGACGTTTCCCTTGCCAAATGAATCTGGAGAGCAGTCGGTCTAATTTATTAAATTTGGATTTTTGTATCTCAAATGGTAGCATTTGAAATGGGAGGATCAACCTGAGCAGTACATTTATCTATATGCTCTTCATGTGTCCTAGTAGGGACGAAGGCAGCGCTGTCCATATACTGATACTTCTGAATATTTGTTATTTTGATATAATTGTATATTTACAACTGTGAGTCTTTCTTTGGTTTTGACAGAGTCATGTCGATGTTTACCTGCATGGTGAACTGAAATGTGGTTGTGTTTTGTGCCTGTCTTCAGGGTCAACGTGCTGATTTGGAGATGCAGCAGAAACAAGGCAAAGAGGAGCCGGAAGAGCTGCAGTACAAACAACACTGTGCCTGGTTGTGGTGAGTCACACACACCTGTCAATCACTGCTACTGTATGTTTACACACACACATACTAACACTGTTTTCTTAAAGGGGGTTCAGCGGCAGCATGTAGTAAGGCCTTTATTATCGTATTAGCTAGTGATACTTTTCTCTAAATTCAATTTCAGGACATTGTAGCTCAAAATGAGAAAACGGCAAGAATGTGTCTTTACGTGTGAAAAAGGTTGCTAAATAACTTTCAATGTACATATATATATATATATATGTGTATGTATATATGTATGTATGTATATGTATGTATATATGTATGTATATATATATGTATGCATATATATATAATTATTTTAAGACGGCTAGCAGCATTGTCATGGTGACTCATGACTTGGACACAAACAGCCGGCAAGACCCCCTCACCATGAGTCATAGAGGTGTGAAACCTATTGTTCAAAACACTTTTTTGTTGTTTTAGATGATAATTCACTCTTGACATTAGCAAAAGGATTGAGCCAAAAGTTATTAAACCATAACATTTTTATACTGTATGTTGCCGTTTCATATTATATTTGACTCACTGGAGTTAGAGGGACATTTCAACTTTTAGCTTTTTCTTTATTCAGATTTTTTTTCTCTTGAGCACCAAATCTAAAAATGACATGGGAATGTACAACATGTTTTTCTTCAAATTAATCTTTTTTGATTGAAAATGTGCTTAACGCATACTGTTCATAACATCATATAAGTTTGTTTGTTTACATGTCAAGCTGCTCTTTTTTTTGCTAGCAGCTACATTTAGCTACACTGTAGCAATTTCCAAAGTACTTATGACGAAGATGTCGGTATACATAGTAAAACAAATATATACATAGTTTAAACATATGCATGAATACAATGTGCATGTACACTAACCTAAAACTAAATCAACCAAGACGAAAAGTAGAAAGGGAGATGGAGCCATTGAGTGAAAGCGACAGGTAACAGTTACAATGCTCTAAATTCACTGGTTCCCAACCTTGGGGCCCTGACCCCCACTAAAGGTCACCAAAGCTTCACAGCATCAGCCAAGCATCAGGGAAAAGAAAAAGAAGAAGCCTTAGATAGATTAGATATGTGTGATTGTTAAAAAATGTATAAAAATTCATAATACAGAGAGAGAATTGTATTAAAAATTATGAAAATAACAGGAAAAGTCATCTATGTTACAATATTCACAGGAAACATTCTGCTCATAATTCATCCAAATGGTTGTACTTCCTGCAGTTAATGCGTTCACTATTTGGGTTAATGGTACAATTTCATTTGTTCTGTGCTGTTATTGTTATGCATTCAATATAAAATGAAATATCTATAAAATTATAAGCATTGAATAAACTATCCAGAAAAGTGTGTCTATGTTACTACGATACAAATGTCCATATAGAAATATACTGTAAATTATGAATGGAAAATTACATTTTAAAAAACTTTAGCATTGTTAAAGGTTCATTAATCTACCTTTTTTTTGTTTAGAGTTGATCATCACAGTCTCACACCCTGATACAAGTATCAATAAATAGCATTCAAACTACAGTCGTTTACCTTAAGACAGACACACACAAAGTAAAGAGCTGATGGAAGGAGGGAGTGTGTGTCAGTGTGTCTTTGAATACATGCTGTTATTCATTGCATTAGTCCTCCGTTCATACCGCGTTTCTCATCTCTTTCTTTCATCCTTTCTTCCTCGTCCCTCCGTCTTTGTCTTCTCGTCCCTCTCAGGGCCAGAGATCAGCTGGCAGACGTCATCAAGACTGCTACAAAGTGAGTCCTGCTTGCCAACATTTTACTACCACAGGAAACAAAAATGGTGGAGTTTACGACTTGAAATACAGAGTTGGATCAGAAATGTAAAGTGTCAATGCTAACAGTAGTGTGTTCTCTGTGTTCTTCAGGGACAGTCCTGTAGTTCAGGGAAACTCCATCCTGGCTCTGAGCGGCCTGGCTGCTGTCCTGGCTAAATATGAGAGCAACCTGCCTGCTGATGGAGATGGCAGCCTCAGGGTAACAATCTCAATATCTATGTTATGAAATATATTACTTCATCACTATGTGACACGATACAATATGTAAAACTTAATAACTTCACCTTTGGTGTGCTTCACGAAAGGGATGGTTAATAAGTTCATTTATTTCTTAATTTATATTTATCTTCTTTTATATATGTAAATCATGTGTTGATTTTGAAGTAATCTTATTTTAATTGGACACAAAAATGTGATAAAATGAGTGTTAATTAACACAATTATTGTTATGATTAACAGTAGTATTCATGTTATTAAAGTGAATTATTACTGCACGTATTGTTCATGGACTGTGGGTTTTGTCCCAACAGGCAGTAGATTGATCTGTTTTTTAAAAATGTAATAAATAATTACATGCAGTATTTCCTTCCAGTCTATTCATAGTCAAGATCATAATGTATATCTGTCAATAATCAAAGAGATGCTATGATATTATAGTGATCTTAAACAGGTGTTATCAGGCACACTGACAAAACAACCTGCTACAATGTCATGTGTGTTATTAAAGGATAAGTCTGGTCATAATAATCTGAAGAGCAAAAGCAACAAGAAAGCAAATCTATTTAAACTCACTGTTAAATACTAGACCCTTAAATCATTCCGGTACCTGACTGGGAGACAGTTAAACATCCCCGAGTCTCCTGCAAAGGTTTGCATTGTCAACCATTCAACTTCTATTACCTAGTTGCGTCCTAGTGTTGGTCCTCAGAACAGGTCTGTCCCCCAAACAACGATGTGATCAAGTTCATGATGGGATTCCAAGTTTAGGAAATATATATTCCTCACTGACTTTTTGCTGTAGGCTGGACCAGAGTTTGTGCCCACAGCCAGCTGGCTGGCCATGGTTGTCAACACCCTGCTCAGCATCAGCAGCAGCAGCTACAAGGCCAGAGGACAAGTCTTCCCATGGTTCCTACATGTAAGTTTCATCTGGGTTCTTTGTTCGTCCTAAAAGCTACTATAAATATGTCAGCAGATAAAGGTCCCATATTGTAGAAAGGGAGATTCTCATGTCTGTTCTGATTATAAAGCAGGTCTAGGTGCTCTATAAACACTGTGAAAGTATCCAAATGAAACGCTTGCTTCACGCAGAAATGCACAAAGCACGTGATCAGAAACTGTGTCTTTAAACGAGCCGTCAGGCCCTAAGTAAGGTTGTGACGTCTGAACTACACAGTAATGCTAAACTTTGTGTAGTTGACACACGCAGTGAGTCAATGGGTGCAGGAGCTGTGAAAACAGAGACAGAGCAGATACGGAAGACCCTTATCCCTGACCAATCAGAGCAGACTGGGCTTTTTCAGAAGCGTTAAAACGGAGCGTTTCAGATATTCAGACAGACAGTATGAGAGACACAATGTCTACTTTAATGTATGGTACGTTACAGCATGCAGTCACATGGTTCATTCAAATGTTTAATTCAGTTTTCAATCTTACTCTTGATATTGCCTTGACGCTTGAGATAAAAACCCATTAAATCATCTTTCTATGTGTGTGATGAAACAAATATAAAAAACAAAAGGCTAGTCACAGTTTATGAAGTGGTTTTGGCTGACACTGACTCAAGTAACATCACTTGAGGACATTTATCAGACTTCACACAGCTCCATCTGGAGACTACAGGCTTTATACTACTCTTTTCACATATGCAGTAAACTCCCCAACACCTGGAAACCCAATAATAGATACTTATGTGTACTTATGTGAATAGGAGTATTGATTTAAGACAGAAATCATTTGAAGCTATCTTTTAAGTTGCAGCAATTGAGCTTGTGTTATTAATGAAGTGGCTCCTGAGAAAATGACATGTAATGAGCTTTAACTTCCTGTAGGTGTCCTTGGTTCTTTCCTCATTTCTAACTGTGCTACAGCCGTACTGTACTTTCTCCTCACTGACTAGTAATGATGGATTAATGGGATCTGCTGCTGTGTCAGTCTGCAGCCTCTTTAAGCTGTCAATCCACTCTAACTCCCTCCTCCTTCCCTCACAGCGGTCCTACTCGGGTGAGAACACAGCGAGTGCCATAGCTCGCTCCTGTGCCAGCCTGGCGTTGTCACTGCTGGTCCCGGTGCTGGTGGTGTGGCAGAGGGACGGTCTGGGACAGGTCCTGTCAGCGCTGCAGGCCGGCCTGCCGGGCTCCCCCACCGCCGACGACTCCCAGGCTGTCCAGTTCCACTCGGGCCTGGCACTCGGCATGGTGCTTTCCAGTCTGCACCACCAACGCCTTAGGTAGAGTCTGAATCTGTAGTAATGACGCCAGCACACGCTTTAACCAGTCATTTCTTGTTAACCTGATTGTCTCTCCCTGTTATCCAGTGATGTCTCTGTTCAGAAGGACACTGATCTCCTCCTCAGCTCTCTGGATGCTCTGGAAAGTTGCTCCTTTAACCCCAACCTGGAACACAAGTGAGTGCTGAGTGCTTACCAATACTAACCAACCAGTAGAGGATAACAATATGCGGTATGGTTTATACCATTGAATGGTTTCCAACTGCTGCTTTGTGAGCATTAGAGTCAACATTGTCATAATAATTTCCCACAAAGTAAAGTAAAGAAAGCCCATTGATCAGCTTCACTGGTCTTATGACCCAGTTTCCTCCTCTGCTCTCCCTCAGTACTGGCTGTGTGTTAGGTCTGGGTCTGGTGCTCGCAGCTCTCTGCAGCAGTGGACAGAAAGACCAACATGTCCATGTCACCCTGACACTGGACAAACTACTGTCCAACCTGCAGGACAGCAGCGGGCAGGGACGCATGCTGCAGGAGGTACAAACCAGTTATACTACGATAGAGTTTTAGAGGTCTCAGAAATATTCTGTCCAGTGACTTGCACACTGATGGGAAACCTTTGTCTCAGTTAATGGCAGTATGTTTCTCACTTTTGGGTCAATTTAGCTGTTTTATGAGGGTAAATGGTATCCATAGAAACCCTTTATTAGAAAATGGATTGTAATAATAGTTCTTTTGTAACTTTGACTACGTCCAACTGTGCAGGTTTTGGCGTACTCTGTGGCGTGTGTCGGCGTCTCGGCCTTCAGCGGAGGACTTATAAATGCTGACAAGGCGGAGGAGGTCATGAACACTCTGCGCACCCTGACTGAGGAGAGCCAGCAGGTCAGCAGGAGAGAGTCTCTTGTCAATGAGGTTGTTTTGGGGGCGTTAGCAGCTGCACCATGCATGGTGATTCTGATGTTACCACAATGACCTGACAACATCATAAAAAACAGACCATGTTGAGCCACACTGATTTGAAAGATTCTCTGAAAACCCTCTGAATAAATGGCCCTTTCTGTTTGCTTCCATCCATTTTTTGTCACTTATCCGGACCGATTCTTGGTAGTAGCAGGATAAGCAAGGTCATTTAGACGTCCCTCTAACCAACAACAATATTCTGCTTCTCTGGGGGATCCTGAGGTGGTCCCAGGCCAGATGAGATATGTGATCCTCTAGGAGCGAACGAGCAGACTTTTCTGGCAGGGAAGCCTGGCCTCTGACTTGGAGGTACTGACTCTCATCCAGTGTGTGCTGGAGGTCTGATGGAGCCAACAGAACCACATCATCTGCAAAGAGTAGAGATGAAATTCTGAGAATTAAGAATTGTCTGTGTTAAAATGAGTTGTTCATCCTGGCTACACTGCTCATTACTAAGCCAAGTCAAAGTACAAACTGATAATTAATCAAGAAGCAATTAAAACGTGGGAGGCAGAGTAGACTCCTATACCATTAAACCAATACCAGGTAATCAAGCCTCTGTTAAATGTGGTCGCTTTTGCTACAGAAAAAATAGGATTCAGTATTTTGTGCTAAGCGCCATTCTGAGGCATCCGCTATAGTCTAACCCCCGGTTTCTATGCTGTTGTGATGTTTCTGTTCAGACTCCTGGCTTCTCCCTGGCTCTAGGGTTGGTGGTCCACGGCCTGTCAATGTCCGGCCATGGTAAAGCAGAGGACATCCATCCTCGTCTGCTGGCTGCTTGGATCAAGATCTTATTGGCCGAGGTCCTACATTTACATTAACTCTCCTATTCACAACTGCAATAGATACTATATTTATACACCATTAATCTCTATAAACAGATTCTGCATTCACATGTAGAATCTGTAGGCAATAGAACAAAATCTAGCAATATAATTAAGTTGAAGCTTAATTGTCATGAACAGTGTAACTTGTCTGTTGAATGTTGAGTCGAGGACTTGTCTTGGTGTTTCAGGGTTGTCCCACTATGCAGCGACTGGCTGCCATCAACGGCCTTGTGGCTTTAGTCGGATCTGAGAGTTCCCTCATTCAGGTAAGAAATCCACTTGTGTGCTGGGACTGCTAACTGGAGATCCGGATCCCGGAGCTGAGTTACGCTCTCCTCCTGCCAAAGTAGTCTCCTGGTGGATGAAAATGCGAGTCGTTGTCTCGTTTGTACACTTTATATCTAATACAATAAGCAAACTATCAAAACATAAATGGACCCTGCACCTATCTCTACTTCTTCATCCTCTCATGTTGTGTTTCAGAGGTGGGCTCTAGAGAGAGTTGCAGAGAAAAACTTGAATTGTTGTAACCTTTAATGCCAGATGACTAATGTACGTTTCTCATAAATTATTGCAAAACTTACTACTAAACAAAATAATCCCAGTCAGTTTGATCATTAGCAGGGGTATAACGTGCAGCAATGGTCCCGGCTGGAATTGATCTGAGGATGTTGAATTTAGTTATGTGGTATATGCCTGAACCATCTTTTCCAATCTAAGCAGCTAGCAGTTGGAAAGTTGCCAAGTCGGCATCTCTGACAGTCCATCCCTCCAAAGCCATTCCCCTAGAATTATAATAATGAAAGTAAACAACCAAAATGACTAAGAATTCTTTGTCTTTTTTTTGTCAGAGAATCTGATTTATTGATTGCTGTCGAGATGTGAGGAGGATTTCAACAAATGTAACCAAAATGTTTCTAAAATACGTTATCCATCCTCGCTTTAAGTACTTTATTGTCTGGCAATCAGGCCCAAGGGGCCAATAAATTGTTCCACTTTTTAAACATTGGGAGTGAAGTATTTCTATTTGTAATAATTCATGTTTGCTCTAATGAGTCCTTGAATGTTTCTGTGTTACAGCAAACAAGTGAGTTGGAGCTTTCCTCCCAGCAGCAGAGCAGGCTGAATGAGGTTATTCGAGCCATCACACAGGTATGTCACATGACACATTTTATTCTTGATACTGTGAAGGTGTCAGACACTTGCTTTTTCCAAAACCTAGAGTAAAGCATGGTCACTGTTGTAGTACTTCAAAATGATGTTTCTGTTTATTATTTTCTGTATTATTTCTATGAAGTATTCCTGCTTGCTCTGAAGATACTATACAATGTAATAGACACATTGGCTCGTCTTGCTCTCTTTTGCAGATCATAACATTCTCAGGAGCCATTGGTTTGCGGTCCAACAGTGCTTGTTTGGTTGGTCATTTGCATTTGTCCCACGTGTCCACCAGTCACAGTCACACAGCAGGTAGGAACGGCACGGTCCCACTGTGATCCTCCACGTTGTCACCATTGACTGGGATGGAGCCTACTGCAGTTATTGTCCGTCTTCACAATGAGGAGCGATGTGGTGTCTTTGTCTTTATTTCTCTCCATGTCCTCCTCTCATGTTCTCAGTGCCTCAGGATTTCAGTTACCTCTCAGAGAGAAGCATCATCAGATCCATTATTGACTTCATCACAGAGGCTGGAAAAAAAGGTTAGTTGACACGTTAAACAATGTTATTTTCAACAACATGCCACACATTTGAACATAAGATTTGAAAATATAGTACATAAATTGCCTGCATATGCTTGAATTTTACTTGTCACTCTCTTCCTTTGGACCCAGGTCCAGAGTTTGCTCATCCAGCTCTGGTTAAATCTGCTCTGACCCCACTGGCATCGGTTGGAACCAGCTTCCAGTACCCGCCCGTCAACTGGAGTGCTGTCCTGTCTCCTCTGATGAGGCTCAGCTTCGGTGAGAGCTCTTACACATGTGTCTCTTTGTGCCTCAGGGCTAGCAGAGTCCAAGCTCAGCATCTTTTTTGTCCTCGACAGGAGAGGATGTTCAGCATCAGTGTGTGCTGCTGGCAGCATGTCAGGCTCAGTCCTCTCAGAGTGCCTCTCTCTTTCTGGGCTCCTGGCTGTCACCGCCCCTTGTGCACAGTCTCAGTGTAAGTTCCTCTTAAGTATTGAGCGAAATGTGTCCACAGCATCGAAATTTCAGAGAGTGTCAATTAGCGAATGTTGCCATCAGCCCAGCACAGACAAGGTTTCCTGGTGCAGGATGTAGAGTAGTACACGGGAGAAATATATCACCCTGTGTGTAATGAATCTATATAATATACGAGTTTCACTTTTTGAATTGAATTACCGAAATAAATGAACTTTTCGATGATATTGTAATTCATTGAGATGCACCTGTATGTGGGTGGAACATGGCGCTCCGTCTTGGCCCTTGCTTCATTGATGCTCGACTTTACTGCTTTACCACATGGTTGTAATGCAAACTCTTTTCGGTTGCTGTAAGTTGACAGCTGTCTGTTTAACTGGGCTACAATAACGTTACTTTGCTTTATGGAGAGAAATTTGTCTCAATATTCATAATCTACAAAGTCTTTATTTACAAATGTTTATGACAATTAGTAAGTCATTTATGATGTTCAATCCACAAGCAAATGCCAACTAGTTTGAGCAAATGTTAAACAATTTTACAAAAATAAATGTATCCCAACTTGAATTCATCTTTTCTTTTTTACATATAGTATAATTTTAACTTCATACTTCATGATTTTGAAAAGCTTCCTGCACATATAGTTACATGTTGTTTAAACACCAGCAGACATATAAGAACTTAGCTTAATAAAATGCTGTTTAAAATTGACAGATTTTTACCTAAGGAAATGTATAAGTAAACAAGTTTTCAATTATGACCAGATGTTCACTGTGGCTTTTTGTACTTGACAGTTAGTGCTACAGATAGTGGGTACTAAACGTATTGAGAGTCAATACCGAGCCCTACTTGTAATACAGTGAAAAATGACTTTGGAGGGTTTATATTTCTCCTCCAGTACCAGACTCGGGCTCACCTGTTTGAGAGCCTGGGCTTGTGGATGAAGCATGTTGCTGAGGACAAGCTCCAGGTCCACATGGAGAGTCTGGGCCTGCAGCAGTTCCAGGAGGACCTCCGACCCCAGCGTCTGGCCCTGTGCCGGTCCCTGCTGCAGGGCCTCGCTCAGGCCATGGCTCTCCAAAATCCCCCCAACAACTGCTGGACCATCCTCTGCTCCACCACTGAGAAGATCTTCACCCTGCTGCCCAACCAAATCCAGGTACCAAGCAGAAATGAAACACACGTTCAGAAAGTAATTACTTTCATGACACTTCAGTTCATTTCTATTCTTCAACTAACTTTTCAACTTCTGTTAATGTTTATACACCAGCTGACGCTTCATTTGCTTTCATGATTAACAGTTCAACTGATATTTCAACACCTGAAATGACCATCACTTTTGTCTCTTACACTTTACGTGACAATTCAAATGCTTTTAACAGCTAAACATTAAATGAATACATTTTGCTCATCAAGTACTTACCTCTTCTGACATTTCAGCTGCTGTCACTGTCAATAGTTTACTTCAACTGTTCACACTTTAACTGCCTTCTACACATTAACCGACTTTCCAACCAACTTTAACTTTTTTTCTTTTCAACTGTGAGTTCAGATATTATTTGTCAACAGACATTTGAACTGCTTTCAGTTTACACATTAAAGCTGAGGTCGGCAGTTTTCTGGAAAAGGCAAAAACAACAACAGAGCTACAATATTGAAGTGTCTACCTGAAGGCACGTGCACACCCTTGTGCAGTTATAGAACAGCCAATAGGAAGACAGAACCAAGAGGAGGTGCAGAAGTCTAGTTTTCTCTCAGCCCACTTGAATGATGAAAAGTTCTATGGGATTTTTGCCCAGTGACTCCTTGCCCAACTAAAACTGCCTTTACAGCTGCTTTCACTCGTCAGCTGACGGTTCACCTGCTTTCAGCTTTTAATCTTCATTTGACAATATAGGTTGACTGTTTACATACAAACTTGAGACTAAATTGTTTAATCGACTGTGATTTCAACAGACCATTCACCAAGAATATCCACCTATTTCTTTTGCTGCTGATGAATTCATTTGTTTTAGGATAATGAAGTGGATTTGTACGTGGGAATCGCCAAATGTCTGTCTGAGATGTCTGATGCAGAGATTGACCGGATCACACGAGTCACAGAGGTACAGTATGATGTGACAAAGAGCCGATAAGTAAATGGTATATTGAAAAAAAGCAAAGCGCTTGTGTCATGTGCTAACACGGTAAATGGTGTAGCGTATGGCTTATGTCTTAACTACAGAGTGTCTACCACACATTTCTGATATTCCTAGATTTTATTGTAAATATAATCCTTACAGTCCAATTTTGCTTTGACCTGTTTTGGAAAATATTCATATTTTTTTCAGAGAAGATTCTTGTGTGTTAAGTACAGAAATGGAGTCCGTATGTGGTTAGCCTAGCTTAGCATAAAGGAAGCAGAGGGAAGCAACTAGCCTTGCTCTGTCCAAAGTTAAAATATCTACCTACCAACCCCTCAGAAGCTCACTGAGCAACATGTTCTCTTTAATCTGTACACAAACAGACATGTAAAAACTACCATGTGTGGGTTGAGGTGGAGTTCGGATAGCTAGCCTCAACTAGCTTAAAGCTATTGGGATAATTCTGATGGTATACATTTATGTTAGTAAAACAACAAGACAATCCAGATAAAAACTGGTGCAGGCTAGTGGCTAGCAGCATGCTAACACATTCTGCAAGCCACAATGTATTTTTTGATACTACAATTGGAGAGCGGCCAAGTACATTTTTTAATAGTAGTTTAAAAAGCTACAGGGGAAAAATAGCGCTGGACAATGTGTATATTTGTAAATGAAAGTGAAAACTCTGTACTGTTTAGACTCAGATGGAGAAGACCTGCTTCGTCCTGGCTTACTTCACCTCCCAAGGCAGAGTTCCCCTCCTGGGTCTCAATGACGTCATTGCCGGTGTGCTTCGTGGTTGGCCACGCCGCAGAGTCGGCTGGCTCCTCCTGCAGACTTTTTACCAGTGTCGCCTGGCCACCAGCCCCAATACAGGTTAGGAGCTGCTCTCGCTGCATTCACAAGTGGCAAAAGAATACTAAGCTTTCAAAGGTAAAAAAAAACTATGGCGGTTTCTGATACGTCCACTAGATGGTACCAAAGTCAAGAATTTCTAAATTTCATAAATAATGATTGATTTATAAGCAAGGCAACACATAGTATGCCTCTTCTCAAGGTTTCTTTTTATTTATCTTTCTCTGCATGCAACACGTGTATCATAGTTGTACAGTATGTTAATGTCCAATAATGTTTATTCTTCGCCATAGGTGTTTCGAAACGAATGGAGTGGCTGCTGGAGCTAATGGGACACATCCGAAATGTCGCCTACGGTGCAAACTCCATCACATGTGGAGACACCAAACTGGTATGTTTTTGTGAGCCATGCTGGAAAACTGCAGTGAGGTATTTCTAGAGCTGTCAGTGTGTTGTTACCACATGCCACAGATGAGGTTTCAGCATGTAGGTGAGAGTCATTCCTGACACGGTTTGGAATGCAGCTCCACTCTCGTTGTCACTAAAATGAGTTCAATGTGCAGACGGGTTTTACACTTTGTTGGTCGTATTTAACAGTTAAAAATCCATCAAATGATCTGTTACAAATTACCATCTTTTTATTTTAAAGGATTATTCTGGTTTATTTTAACTTGGGTTGTATTTTTGTAGTTTTCACTTCGGATGTTTTCTGATAAGTGTGAACACGGTGCCATTGTTACAATGAAGTCCGATGGTGTAAGAAACACAAGCAGACAGGTTGTAAATGTGATTACAATTCTATAGAAATTAGACCCAAGTATTTATAATATACCAGATTAATATCTAAAGTACCCTCCTGTAGGTCCATCTTCACACAATCGCACTGTGCTGTGCATTGGTCAGGGATCTCAGAATTTCTAAAGACACCAAATATTGTATGACGAGCTGAACGGGGCATATTGGATCTCAGCATCCTCCATATAAATAGTGAATATTTATATATTAGTGGCTATTGGTGGCTTCAATCCAACAATCGTGTTAGCAGTAGGAATTAGTTTAGGTGTATTGGTTCATAACATACACATTATAAGAGAAAATGATTTTGAAAATAAAAACAAGTACAAAAATCAAGAAACCTAAATATAGATCAGAAGAAAATTTGAATAACAACACAAAAAATACTATAAAATAATCAAATATGTACAATGTATCTGAATTCAAATGAAAGCTGTATAGAAGAGAATTGTGATTAAAATATGAAGAATAGAATATATTGTGCAACATATCTGCAGTTGTTAGAATCGTCTTATTCCACACATTCTTTGTCCTTGTCAAAACATGGCACCTACATTACCCACAATACAACTTGATTCTGCCAGCAGTGGACACACTGAACTATGTTGCTTGATGATCTGTCATACTGTTGGTGTCATAAGCTCCCAAGCAGTTTTACATCTCTTCTCTATTTGTGTAACTCTTTGAACAGCCTGCATTCAAATGATCTGAACGTAGAGTTTCCTTCTTCTCCTGCAGGCCACAGACTTCCTGTTCCAGGTCTTTGCTGCTGCTGTGGTTTCCTGGGGCGACCACTCCATGCCTCTCCTCCTCGGCGTCAGGGCCCAGTGGTTCCCATGGCACCCCGACTCCAAGCCCCAAACTCTGCAACACGGTCTGTACGGTGAGGAGTCGCTCACGGACCGCGCCCTGCCGCAGTGCCTGCTGGGTATGTCCCGCAGCCTGGCTCTGCTGCTGGACAAAGAGCCCTGGAGCAGCCAGACTCACAAGGTTAGTGAGTTTAATATTCTGCACTGTGAAAAACAATCACTACGTTTTTTTTAGAGAAAGATGACGACAACCTGAGCGTGTGTTTGTGTGTCTCAGTTCATAGACTGGCTTTTCAGCATCACAGAAGGTCCTGAACAGACTCTGTCAGCCACCACCGTCAGCACAGCCAAAGGTAAAGAATGCAGAAACAACAGCAAACAATACTCCGTTATAAAATGTTGAGCCCCGGAAACAGTAATGCTCTTAAAATGACACCGTATGACATTTCAGACTCACACTTCACTCTCCACAGAAACCTCTCTGTCCAGGGAACATGATTCCATTACGTGATGTTCCAATACTCAGTGTTTGAAGTCTTAACACTCTCCTGGACTAAGAGACTAACAGTGATGTCATGACTGATTTACATCTGTGAGGCTTGAAACTGGGCCGAATTAAGAGAGGTGGATACCGTGCTGCCAATTGTCCCAGTGGCCAACTGTGGTACTACACCTAGTGTCCCTAAAAGCATGTCCCCATAGAACAGGATCATCAACTGCAAATTTGTCCAGTAGGGGCAGTTTCACTTTTCCCATGTTACTGCTATTCAGTTCTCAACCAGTGAAGCAAGCACAGCTTTGTGAGGCAGGCCTGACCCCTGCATCGCTAATACTGAGCTGACGGATGGATTCATGACCCACGGGTCGAACGCACATATTTAAGGTTACTAAATTATTTCTAATAGAATTATTTCCATCTGAAATTTTTAAGGGGTTGCTTCAATATAGAAATAAAAAATGCTGCATATCGGATGGGAAGCTTTGGCAAGTATTTGTCCCGCGGGCCGCCAGTTGACGGAGCATCATCAACAGACCATCATTATATAAGAGATGTATGTAAAACTGCTGACAGGAGACCTTCATCTGCAAACAATGTCAATTATTACTCTTATATAGACCATGCAGGTTTCAAAATATACAAAAAAAATGGTCTTTACAAATGTTTTTTGAGGAAGGATATGCCACCAAAATAAGTGGAGAGAGTCTGTAACCAATACTGTATATACAGTACAAAATGATTTAAGAGGCGCTGGATTATTTACACCATATTATATATGTGTATTATGTGTATTTAACATGATATGCAATGTAGAGTGATCCTAAAAAGGTGTTGTAGGCAGGTGATGGACAAAAAAGAAGACAACAATGAAAATATCCATAGAAGTCTGCATTACCTAATGGTTGTTGTTTCAGCTGCCCTGTTGGCCCTGAAGTCCTCCGCTGAGTTCAAGAAGAAAGCTGTGTGGACCAGAGCATACGGCTGGTAGCCCAGAGGAGCCCGTGGCAATGCATACAGAGGCTCTTCACACAAACATGACTGGAACATCTTCCCTGCCTCTGACTGCTGGACATGGATGCAGCGACGGCTCTGGATGTGTGAGGCTCACTTCAGTGACATGGACTCTGTACTGCACTGCCATGGTAGCTCTACTTCAATCACAACGTCAAGAGGAACGTGCCCTGTCGATACATGCCCATTAAAAGTTGAAATATTTTAGGATGTTGAGTTTGAGTTTCTGGCACTTGAGTTCAAGTTCTCTAGAAAATACAGATTTTAATGATCCCACATTGTGATGACATCAAGCTCACAGAATTTAAAAAAAGTAGTCCCTGATGAACTTCAGAGGAATATCCTGAAGGACTTCCAAACATTCAATCTTTAAGGTGTCATTTCCGTTTCATCTTCTTGTTCCATTTCTCCAGGTGGTGATGTCTCTCCTGCAGCAGTTGCCAGACGGTCACAGAGGCCCCTTAAACAGACAACACTACTGTTAGAAAGTCAGAAAAAAAACAAGACGCTGTGTCATTTTGTACAGCTGCAAAAAGATTGTTATCCTACTATGAGGAAGTCACCTGGCCCGCTCTGCCTCTGATTGGCTAGTGCTGGTTGCCTTGGTTGATTGGATTGGTTAGGTTTGGTCATGAGGAGTGAGATTAGTTTGGCTTACCCTGATATTTATACCCAATCAGGGGGGAGTGGGGCGGGTCATGCCTTCGCTATAGTAGGATTCTTAATGATGCCTCCGCCTGTAGTATGGGTTGCCAGATTTGGGGTTTGAGCACAGAGTATAGTCTGTGTACAGGCACAATAGTACCAAACCTGGCATCCTGACTGACAGGAAGAAGCTGCAGCCAGCTGTTGTTTACCAAGAAGTAGTTCCAACAAGTAACTCCCCCAAAACCTCATGATAAAAGTGTCGGAAAAGAGACTCAGAGGGTGAATGTTTTCCTTTGTTTAGAAACACGTAGAGCACCTCTTTCATTAGTGAAACATCACATTACAGATGACACAAACAGCCCCCTCATCCATCTTGTGCTGTATTGTCACAGTGTGGGGCGGCACCCACACAGTTTTTCTTTTTTTGTGCATAAAACTGCAGGGTCATTACGGTTTATCTGGTAATCATCATGACAAAAGATGTTCAGTGTTTTGGCGTCAGATAAGCCTTCAAACTCTGTTACTCAAACTGTCCTCTCCAATGCAGTCTGAATGCTGGCTAACATCTCACCAAGAGCCAGGACAGGCAGGTAGACCATCAGGAGGAAGGGGAGGTGAACCTGTGTTGACACTGTTGAATTCAAAGAGGAAGCGTTCGTTGCTGTTGGCTCCACATAAAGCAGGGCCTGGTATATAGTGACACCTGAGGAGGAAGAGGAACACATACAAGATGCTGAACTATTCCTTTAAAGTTCTACATCCTTCACACAGTATGTCTGTTGTCTAAAGCAGTGATTTTCAACCACTGTGCCACGGCACACTGAGAGATCGTCAGGTGTGCCGTGGGAAAATGTCCAATTTCACTTAATCGGTCCAAAAAAACATTATTTAGTTGCTGCAAATAATTTGCCATTGTTGAGCATCTGAGCTGCAATAGAGTGGCTGACTAAGTAACAAATACTCTCCCATGCCAGTGGGTGGCAGTAGGTAGCGCAGTAATGACCGTGTTAATTTAAGACAGCAGACTTAAATGATGTGCGGGAGAGCTTGCGGTGACTAGACGAACAGCGATGTTTGAAAAGGAAGAAAATGCAGACTGAACTTGGCCCTGGACAACATTCCAACCCAGATGAAAAGCCTCGTAAGGATCAACACATTAAGAGACTTGTCATCAAATTGTCAGCATATGCTGTACTTGTAACTTTTTTTGGTTGTTGGTGTGCCGCGGGATCTTTTTAATGTAAAAAATGCCGCGGCTCAGAAAAGGTTGAAAAACACTGCTCTAAAGCTCTGGTTCGCCAAAAGCTTTAAAAATGTTATTTTTAAGTTTGGATTATTATTATTTGAGATATAACATTTTTTTAAATCTCACATGATAAAAAGAAGCCTAATATGTGTCCAACATTGTTAAAAATGATCTAAAGAAATACATAATACAGACAAAGAATTAATAACAGGAAACCCCATCTCAAATTCATGCATTTATTGTTCACTATTTGGGATATTTGTACGGTTTATCAGTTATTCTGTACTGTTATTGTTATGCATGCAATATAATATGAAATATCCACAAGATATGTCACTCAGGGGTGTTCATTCATTGATAGAAAAGGATTCTTAAAATATTCTGCTGCGGTTTAATAAAGAACATGTCCTTCTAAAGTAACATGGGATCAGCACACAGTCAGCCAGTGGTGAGTAGTTCACTGACTACACCGTCTGTGTGTTACTGATATTCTGGGGCTTCTCAGCTGTTTGTATGCGGTGAACACGTGTTCTTTCCCCACACACTTCCTGACATTTTATCATCGGCTCTGCTGTGCCAACTCGTTTCCTGTACGCTCCCACTACTTCCCTTATACGAAAAGCAGCCTTTAACACATTGAAGCAGCTCACAGTGTTCAGAGCATGTCACCGTATAACTGATGACCCTAAATGTAGTGAGATGCAGTCTGAGGCATGCCGGCCCATTTGGTGCGATTTTGTAAAACTGCCAGTTTCACAACTTTACAGTAGATATGAAGGGGATAAAAGATGTAGTCACCTTCAGTGGCCACTGACAGGATGTATAAGGGAATGTAGAGTGTGTAGCGGGTCCACAGCATGGGGATGGAGGGTGTGTCCATTACACACAGCAGCTCATGTGGGTACCTGGCATCACACAGCACACAGGGCACAACGGTACAGTATTACACAACTAGAAAATTTCGCAAGAAATTTTGACAGTGTGGCTTCTACTGCCTGAAGCCGTTGCAATATATATACACGCCAATATTACCGGTAGTATCGTTGAGATTCAATTGAGATATCGCTACTCTCTTCTCTGCATTTTAGATTCATACTCTTGGATTGAATCTTGTATTCGTGATGGACAGTCTACAAATGTCTCCCGTCATTTCTGTACTGGACATGTACATCTTTGGTTGAGAAGCCTTTGGAAATGATGGGAGCGTTACAAACCTCATTCTGAGCTTCATGTTAAGATACAGTTACTCTATGCGGCTTTTATTTTGAAAGGGTGGGGCTGGTTGGGGGGGAGAGGAGACAGAATCATAATGTTTGACACATACACGGAGGTTATTAAATGACAGGCTTGATCACAAGCATTCCAGTTAGAATTCATTCTGTGGGGCTTTTATTTTGAGATGGGGGGGTGAAAGGGGAAAAGTCCTCTAAAACTATCTAAGACCTGACTGACTGTATGATAGAGAGAGACAGAGACAGAGTGAGACAGGCAGACAGGAGGTCTAACGATCTTTCCCTGAATATCTCCAAGTCATGTGTGTCTGTGAGTCTGTGTGTTTATCAACATCACTAATTAGCTTAATCAGAAACACCTGTGTCCTTGCAGCCTTTTCATGGAGATAAAACAGGGAAACACCTCTCAAACAAATCCTCAAAACTCCCATAACCGTAGCTCCTATTGCGCCGATATTAATAAATGAGAGGAAGGATGAGTTGAAGAACAGATCCTGTAAAAAATGTGGCTTAACTGGCGATCTAGAAATGGGGTACCGTGTTCTGTGGAAGATGTTTTTGAAGTAAAATTTAATATTGGTCTCTATGGAGCAGAAAGTTGGTTTTCCTCTCAATTACAGGCTTCTGTGCCAAATGTGTAAATCTGTGGGATTCCATTTCTCTAGACCAGTACACAATTGGCTAACTTTTTACTGAAGAACAATGCATGAAGAGTGAAAATTTTGGAGTCAATGGCAAAAGATAAATATTTTTTTCACAAGAATCTGAAGCGCCTCTTCACTCTAGCGATGACATCACGCACTCTGAGCTCCGCAATACACACCCATTATAGAATCTGAAATGGACCCAAATTTTCCTGAAACTTAATCTGTGAGTTCATGAAAACTGTGCTAGCTATCAAAATGTCCATTTGGCTCAATAAAGTGCAGCGTTTTGTCTACGTTTTAAACTTCGAATCATTTTTCTACGTTATATTATGGCTAGTCAATATGGGGCCAAAGTTAAGTTGTTTTTTTTGCTGTCTTCATGCCGAAACCCCATTCAAGTCAATGTGGAAATTTTGCTCCTTTTTTCACGATCTGGGAAAACCGCTGGGCGAATCTCTGAGAAAAGTCATTCCACACGATTCCCCATCACGATCACGATTCGCCGCACGTTTTGATGTATTTTTTACACAGGTGCTGGTAACGCTGTGTGAGGAGAAGCGCACCAAACTTTCTGGCGGAAGATGGAGAATAAGTCGAATAGTCCCGCAGGATTACAGTCGGTGTGCTTTGGCACAGGCAGTTTGAAATACAAATGCTATGAGATCATCCTCTGGGGAGCATGAATATTGACAGAAAGCATTTCTGAAAATGACTGAATTGTCAAGATATCTTGCTTTGGACCGAACTATTTGAACGATTAATAGACATACATCATTGTCACCATTGCCAGTGGGGAAAAAACAAACGTGTAAAGAATATTTTTAAGTAAATAAACCTGGGAGAAGTGCAGCTCCTGCATTCCTGGAGGACCTAAAATTTGCAGCATAATCACAAACCGGATGGATGAAGTGAATGGAAGACACAGGCCTTAAGTCACATGCTCACCGTAGGAGGTCCAGAATGTTCCATAAGAAGAGCTGTGCACACACCACTGGTTTACTCTGGACCTCCTCCAGCATGATGACCATGATCAGCAGGAAGTTCTTCTCCATAACCTAAAAAACAGACAACACAATCCACCCACTGCTTCAAATGGATGAAGAACTCTTGAATACACATTTGAGCATTTTTTAACATCCACATGATTCATTTTTGAGTTTGATACACACTTGGACGAAGCGAGGGAGGAGTCTGGCTTTCTCAATCCCATCTGCGATATGGAAAAGCTCCAGGATAGAGAGCAGCTGGCACAAACCCATCATGAAGCCAACAGAGTAAAATGTGTCTGCTAAGGCATCTGCAAAGTCAAAAATCAAATTGCACCATACAAACATGTGCCATTTAATGAGAATTAAAGCCTATTCCTGCTCTCCTGAGTTTAAACCAATAATGAGAGTCGCTCTTTCATGATGAGCTCAGAAAGCTAAAAATCCACATTGCACAGTATTGAATCCTTTTCCCTTTTATTTGTATGAACCTTACCTTGACCAAATGTGAGAAACCTGGCTATGGTATTAGCCAGGATCCACGTGTGTCCACAGAACTGGAACAGGTTATACGAGAAAATGTAGGCTAGTCTGAAACTGAGCCTGTAAGAGAAATAAAAACAACCGGCATTTGTTCATTGCTAGTTTTTCACACTCTGGCCATCCTCCCTTGTACAAGTGTAACCAATTATTATCACTGGCTTCCTGGAGCGGAGTCATCGTTAATGTTGGTTACACCTCTTTTCCTGCTGTGACAAGTCAAGATGTCAGAAGGATCTATTTACTGTTGGAGTATAAGACAGATAAAGTTCATTTATCATTTTTACTGCTCTATTTCTAAGGAACACTTTTTCCATTTCATTGCATTGATCTTAAAGCTGTAGTCAGTTAAGCTGCAGGTAACACCATCACCCGATCAAGAAATAGTCACACAACGTAACTCACTCTAAAACCACATGTGTTGGTATTACTTCTCTTTTTCAATACGGGTTAAACAAATGCACTTCCCCCTGCTTCCGGACTTTATGCTAAGCTAGGCTAACAGCCTCCAGGCTTTTCTTACCGCACAGACATGAAATTGAGCAAATAACCGTATTCCCATAAAGTACATTTTGCTGCTAATACTTCAGTACTTTAACTTGCATTATAATTTTTTGTGCAGAAATTTTACTTTTACAGTATTTACATCATTGCACTGGTACTTTAACTTATAGAGGATGTGGCAACTTATTCCATCACTGCAAGGAAATGAAAGTGCTCTTATCTTGAGGATACCAAGCACTTTTTAAGTCACCCATAAAACTTATTCCAAGAACTCTAGTAGCTACTTGAGCGCCCACCTTCATTAGGACTTTAACCCCCCAAGAACCCATAATGGAGAAAGTAGCTCATTTGATTCATCTTTCAGTGGCATAAATCAATGAAAAGGTTGCGTTCAAGGGGTTAAGGAGCATTTGTTACTTTTGTTGGCCACTTGGGGCAGCAAAACAAGCTGTAAACAACATCTGACATGTTATCACCTTATAAAGTTATTGTTGCTAACATGTTAGCAAACTTTCATACATTTAAAGTCATGTTTCTGTCCACCTGACAAATCAGGTCCAATGTTCTCCCTTCTTCTAGCTCTGGTGTGGTCTCCACCAACTCCTGAGAAACGCATCTGTCTCTTTAGCTGCTAACTGCTCCACTATTCACCAGCTAGACTCTAACTGTGTCTGCTGCTGAGCTACTGTAGCTTTATCTGGACTTATCCAACGAAACGTGGGTAAAGGAGAGCACGGAGAATGAACCAAAGCAGAAAAGTTCTGACCACGCTTAAAAGCCAAACAATGAGCTAAAAGAGAGTAAAAAGGCCGAGCCGAGGGGAACTGTAGAGATGGTGATGATTCTCTGTGGCTTCATCACTGAGAGCGTCCCCTTGTCATTCGATATCTTGTTTATATGTAAATATTGATTACGGCAGCTATAAGTACATTTTGCTGTTATCAAAATAAAGAGTACTTTATTCTAAGACCAAAACGATGTTTGCAGAGAAGCCCTTCAAGGAAGTTTCTTCCTGCAGTATGCCTGCAACGTAATATGTTTATTACTAAATCTCTACTGTTGCTAGTAATTCTGACTCTTCCCTGTAAGAGTATAACAATATGCCTTCATTGCACATGATATCTGTGCAAATAAAGATTTAATGTACAAAAATGTAGTTTTTCATAACTGACTGCAGATTAAAAAACATTCATTGTGTTGGTTTTAAAACTCATATGAGCTCATCTTGGATATGAAGCCTGCAAAATGAGCACCAATCCGTCCGATACATTTGAACTCTAAGCCGTTTTACAGTATTAAATGAAGTGTTGTACAGTATATGATTGGCCTGACATTCCTCAACACGCCCTGTATAAGCAGAACATTCCTTCCCCAGCCAGAACACAGACACTGCTTAAAACTCTCTCTATACTCACTTACATTCTCCCTCTGAAGTCTCCTTTTGTTCCAGGTACATGAAGAGCTTTCTGCTCATAGTCCCAGGATCATGTTGTGCTGCAGATCGTAGCTCCTTGCAGCAGTTTCCTCCTTGTTCAAAGGGACCCGCCTCTTACTTGATCTTCCTTCACAACTGGGAGCAGCAGAAATGCTGCAATATCTGTGTTTTTGTAGTTCTTCCTCAGGCTGATGGTTACTGCTGTTACTTTGCAGTAAGTAGGAAGTGGACATTCCACGTGCAGGTCTGTCGTCGGATAGTCCCAGCCCCCTAAAGGAAGACTACGAGCTGACTGTGGCTCAGGACAGACAGACAGAGAGGAGCAGCAGGAGCACAATGAGCAACACTCACAGTTCATGTCTAGAACTCAAACACCACCAGACACTTTCAGAACTTCAAACTGTACTGTGTGGTGAAATGAGGGAAAGTGTAAACTCTTGACACACACTGGCTTACTGAATAGTAACACAGCAGCACATGTACATGTAAACTATAACACTGATACTTTAACACACAAAACAACAATGTGCAGAACAATCAACTCCAGAGAATCTGTTTAAATGATATTGACAATGATAATCTGTATTTTCTCAGCAAAAAACATGACATCATCAAAAGGAATGTGTTGATCTGTTTGTACTTACTGGCGTTCTTGTTCCTGACATTCCTGTACAATAAAAAACAATAAAAAAAATTAACACTATTAATTAAAAAGCAGTTGACTTACCAGAGCTGCTGTACACTATTTAAAGACAAAGTCCATCCTCCTTTCTTTGTTAACAAAGAGTTTAATCTTACGGTTGTTCAGTACATCCGTGTGTTTTAGTTCCAGTAAGAAGTCCTTCTTCATTCATGGACGCCAGTGAAGACAGTCGAGCCTCCCCAGTTGTATTTCTTGAATACGTTTTAATGCGTTTGAGGCTGAAAATGTCTGCTCAACAGAGGCAGCAGATATTGGGATTGTCACCGCCCAACATGCCAAAACGCTAAAAATGTAATGTTACGTAAAAACTTCTTACATATCTTTAAACTTTAACTCTTACTACTACAAAGTTCTGCTAGCTAGTTTCACAACAGTCACGCTAGCCCACTGACCAATCAAGCTGCCCGTTAACGCTGACGTATTTGTAGGCCAGCTAGCAGGCTCTGACACGTCAAAGAATATGCCCAACATGTCAAACTAAAGATCTGATTGGTTGAACACCATGACAATCAACAATATCGTCCCCATTCACTTAAAGTGCACATGGATGCACTTGTGAGTCTGCAGGCCTCTGGTCTCTGTTCTTACATAGAGACACAGAGGTGAGATCTGATTGGATAAAAGCTCTACTTAAAACAAGCTGCACTGGAAGCAGAGCAACTGAGGAAGACAGTAGCTGTGCAATGAGAACATAAGATAATGGGGAACATATTTAGAATACATGTAGTGTATTTATGAAAAAGTATTAAATTATAAAATAGCTATAACTTTGTGATTCTGTCTAGGCCAGCAGAGAAGGCCTTACTGGCCCTGACGGCCCACCACTGCTGTCCTCATAAAACTCCCTGCAGAGCCACTCGGGACATTATACAACTTCTTTCACAGGCTGAGTAGTACTCCTGCTGATGTGTAAACTGATGTGTAAACTGATGTGATTTTATGTGTAAAATCATTGGAGTGGCCCTTGGATCATGACTCATGAAGACACATGAACGTGTCTGAATGAGTCTCTATTAGCTGCTGAAGAAGAGTGAGACACAGATAGCTTTTACAATGTATTTCACGACTTCTCTGAGCTCGAAACAATATATTATGACCTAAATGTTAATGATATGTTATGTATGTTTGCTGCTATGGAGATATACTGTAGTACAAGGGATGTATCAACTCCAGAAGTGGATGCTATAGGAAAGGAAGGACGTATTTATCGGTGCACTCTCCTCGTTAACCACTTATAGTCGCCTTCTTAATCCCTCTTGACTAACGGCCCAACATGATTGACCGCCTACTGTTTTAATGTGGACTCCAGAAGTAACTGTATCTCCTCAAGACCTGCAGTCACCAGGTCGTCTCACTAAAATAGTACTCTAAATATATCCTGTTTGTGTGGCTGGGTTTTCAGTAATTCGGCTCCAGTCAATGCTTGGAGCAACTTCCGAGGTGTTCGAACTGTTTGGGCCGACAGACAGTTGGAATTTCAACCAAACCTGTGACCGAAAAACTTTTCTAGCATCTGGAGATGACGAAACACTCAATACAAGTCTCATTTACAAAACTCCTATGTTTAAGCCAGGCTGAGGCTGCATTGACAGGACAGCTGGTTTCATTCCCTCACATATGACACAGATTTGAACATTTTGTTATCAGTTTGAACAACAAGAAGGTGCTTTAATCACATGTATCTTCAACCATTTGGATTGTATGGCTATATACAGTACACAGCTTTGAAAGGCAAAGTGTTAAATGTTTACTAAACATAATGTGCAATTTATTTGTATTTGAGATCATTTTGTATTCACTGTGGCAGGGCTGGATTAACCTGCTTGGAGGCCCAGGGGCCCCTATTAGCCCCACCTTTGTACCTGTTCACTGGGCGTTGTCTACATTATTCCTGGCACCAGGTTTACTGTGTGGTAATTTAATTAATCACAAATAACATTCGGCATATGCCCCACATAAGCACAATATAAAATGAAATGATAAACATTATGAGTAGGTGGGGTTCTATCTCAACCTCTATTTTGTTGTTGACACAACTTCTCTCCTGAAAATGATGTTTATATTGTCACAGGTTAAGTTTCACTTAACTCTGTTCTACACTTTTCATTCTCATCCTCCAGGTTTTTCCCCGGTAGCCCTGACCCTCACCAAACCACACATCTGCCCTTCAGCACCCAATCAGCTTTGTAGGTGTACCGGCCCACTCACTCACCCCCTTTGACATTTACTGCAGGGGTGCGCAAACATTTCATGCCAGGGGCCATGTGATTGACTTTTTAGCACTTTGTGCTGTAAACTTGATTCTGAAGCAGGTTGATTAAATCTTCCTCCTCATGGGAACAGGGATGCAGGGCCATGCAGGGTCAGGTCAGGTGTAAGTCTTGCAGTGGAGACTACATCATGGGCGTCAGTCTTCTAGGACCTCAGTCTGTTGTTGCTCAGTGTTAGCAGAGGAAATGTTTCCTCACAGAGTCCAATAAACTGAGCATCCTCTTGGCATGGCGTCTCATGTGAGGAGATCTGGACTTTTCCAAGCTCTTGTAACTCTGACAGTGAGAGCTGATGGCGAGCCATGGAGTTAGCATCAACTAAGAAGGGAAGGTCTGCCAAACAATCTTTGGGGAAAGGAAAAAGAAAAAAAATGTCTTGTAATGTGTTACTGTTGACATCTTCAATATATAATCAAGAGTGTGATTTTTCACAGCCATTAAGTGTGAGTTGTTTAGCCATAACTATTAAAACTTGAAACATGCTTAAGCTGTCATGAGTGCTTGGAAAACAGAGGAGAAATGCTGTACAATCACAGATACATACAACAAACAATTTCTCTCTATTATACAGATTCAACAAAAAATAATTTGGGCCGGGGGGTTGGCATTTCCCCCTCATTTTTCATAATATCTTTCTATTGATGTCCTCCTTACTTTAATAATCTCAGGTTATCACATTAACAGTCACTAATGCCATTTATACTCGTAAGTGTTTATTGGACTACTGCTACTTTGGAAAGCCGGATAACCAATTCCATTACATTATGGTACTTGCAAGACTGATACAAATATATCAACTTTTCACATATTTAAAGTTTTAAATGTAAAGAACCACTGACTACAGTACTGACACCTACACCCTTGCGACACTGTCAGAATATGTGCCTTGTTATCAAGACTACAAAGATACACAAAAGTTTTTATTTTAATTGTCAAAATGATCGGAATTAGCAGTCACAGTATCCCCAGAGAAAATACTGAGACACTAAGGCCATCATACACCATAACTAAAATGTGTTCAGAACAAGTTGGAGGACAGAATACCTACAGCTTTAAATCCATAAATCACATACTGTCTGCATGTTTTTGGTTGCATTACTATCAGCTCATACTGGATATGATTGGTACACTTGTTCTGCAGTCTTTGACACAAGGAGAGCAGAGTTTCCCCCAGTTAAGCTCAGGGTCATCTCTGGTTTCCCACTCAGTGTCTGCCGTATTTACACTGCTGGCAGGGGGTGACGGGGAGATTGTGTTGCCTACCAACAGCAGACAGCACGACCCCCCCCCCCCATAGCCTGGTGGTGAGTTCAGGGTCCCTGCCAGCCAACCATCAGCATTCCCGGTTACTCATTTCAATTAGACTGGACTCCCTGACGCTGGCTGAGCCCTGCAGTACTGTAAGTTCAGTACTTAAATATCTACGTCGCATGCTGCTGACACTGAGGCCATTCTTACTCTCATATATTGTTCTTATCGTACAGCATTTTCAATGTAGCTGGTAGCATAAATTGGTGAAATTATAGTTAAAGCTGCACTTATCAATAGTGTTATTTAACAATGGATCATATGACTGTGTAACGTGAAAGACATCACATAGTGAAGAACCCATAGAGAAGTATCTCCAACTATAGAGGTTCTACTGAGCTTTCTTTTGCTTCAGTCTCACCGTTCTGATAAGACATGGTCTCCATAAAATGACACTACAACCAAATAAAACCAAACTGTATTGTCAGTTAAGTTTGGAGGGGAACCTATTTTCATATTTTATCAGAGGGTGTACAAGCGGTAGCGTAGTGATCTTCTGCGCATGTGTGGAACGCGTCCTCCGAGTGAACAGTACAAACAGATCCAAGATGTGTCCGTGGTGTCCACAGCTGTCCATAGAGAGTACATGCCTTAAGTCCACATAGCTAGGGCCAACACAGGACCTTCACCCAGGAGATCAGTGTTTGTGTCCCCTGTGAGACCTCAGGTAAGCTTATTTAAATCCAATTCATAATCTTTTACCAAACTTAACCAAGTAGTTTTGCTGCCTAGTCCGACGCGGAATTGAGAATGCATTTTCGAAACGGCAAAAGCACCACGAGTGGTTAAACCACTACAACGCTGATAGACACGTATGCAGAAATGTTGATATGAAACTTATTTTTGGTTTAGAGAGGTCAAGATTTAATGTATTCGTGGTTTGCAGATAAAATTCAAACATTTTATTCTGGCTACTGACTGGTTCTGATCAACAAGCTGTTCTTAGCTATTGAGCTCTTAAAAGCCAGATTTCTTTGAATGGCCTGTAATTAAGTAGTTCGGAGGTTCCGTTTCTAGGAGGCATTAGTAGGAAAAACACTTGAACAGTACATCTTCATATTTTCTTTATTCTTAACCAAGAGCTCTGAAATAAAATATCTAATATTGAGGACTGAATAACACTGAGCAGGGCCGTCCTTCAATCAGAGGGTCGACGGTTCATTCCCCTGCTGGTCCATGGGCAAGACTTGCTCCAAATTGAATGGTTAGTTAGAGTCCTGATGGGCAGGTGACATATTCCATGGTAACCCCTGTCATCAGTATATGAATGGGTGAATGATGAGATGTGCACTTTGAGTGGTCGAAAGTCTAGAAAAGGTCTATACAAGTACAATCCATTTAGCATTGTATCAAGGGTGTTCATAAGCTTTACGGTATATCTCAAAGGAGCTGAAAATTACATTAAAGCCATTTTGTGTTTTTTATTTTCTTCAGCTTCACACACACTGTGGCCTTCAACAGACGTTTTAAATTTTACTGGACATCCCAGAGTTTCACAAGACACAAAATATTAAGTTGAAATTTGGGGTCAATTTGTTTGTTGGTAGCTTTGTTACAGGGAATTTGTTTAAAACAATAAAGAAGACAAATATGGCATCTGGGGTTTGAATATTTCTTTGGTGTTAGAACAAGCAGATTGGAACAAGGAGGAGGAAGTAGATACATTACAGTTCATTCATTGGTCAGGTCACCTTTGTGGTGTTAGACAAGGCTTAAATGTTTTCCTCCTCCTTTTATCTCCATTTGTTGAGGGTTTAAAAAACATCCCAGTTCAATATGACTCTGCTAATTCCATATGTCAAAGTCATTTCACTCATCGTGGTTAATATAATGTCTTCCATGTCTCTGGAGGAGATTTGTCAAGTCTGACAAAAGGACATGACTTCTGCCTGGGCTTGGTGGAGTAAAGTTTGATAGACGTTTGTTTTTGAGGCTGGGAGCGTCTCATTAAAGATGCAGTAGAGTTATGGGAAGTTTAGGATCCAGCATTTTCTGAGCTTGACCTGGAGACCAGTTTCCTCCTCAACTTTATTGAAATACAATACTACATTTCCAGAGTGTCCCTTTAAATGTTGTACATGTAGAAGCAATGTTGCCTCACTAAGAGAGACAGAGGGCCCCCCCAACCTGTTTTCCAGTTGGACCTTTAGCTGAAATGGGAAAACTGTTGTGGGGAATTATACTTGACCACAGAGACTTGCTGTACATCGACTGCATTTGTATTCCCATTAATTAATTACATTTTCTGAATTCTTATTAAATTGAGAATAAAAACACTTTCAGTGGACAAGGGACCATGAGGCTTCCCAGATATTTGTTAAGTCAGAGCTCTCTAAAAAACATTAGGAACCAAATCTGAAAAGAACTTGATTGTGATTATTCCTTCATTAAATGTGACCTACTTGTGCTTTGGACCCCCTGGCATCTTCCAGAGGCCCCTGGTGGTCCCTGGACCCCCCAGACTGGCACACACTGACCCCCTGAGAGCTTCAAACGTGCAGAGTGGCTCTCTCCTCATGGGGGTGTGTTGTTGCTGAGTTGTTGTCACTTGAGTGTTTATCTGCCAGACAGCCTTCATCAGAGGTGTGACACAACCCTGCATACATGCCCTCCTGTCTAACATAGCTGCACTTTTCACATGTTGCCTTGGTGCCTATTTGAGCTTGCCGTGTATTTTTAAAAACAGCCAGTGAGTCGTCTGTCTGCACGGAGCGGTGATCTGTTGGTCCGGCAGAGACAGGGCAGTCAGTGTTTTCTTTTCTCTTGACTTCAACTTTCAATTTCAATCAAAAAACAATATTTCCCTCTGACATTTGGAGTTTGAAGTGGAATATAATAGAAATAACGAAGGAAAGTACAAACGCCTCAATATTAGGACAGTAAATGTACTTGGTTACTTTCCACCACTGGTTACTGTTCACTATAACTTGAATTGTTAAAGTGACAGTGTGTAGCATTTAGTGGCATCTAGTGGTGAGGCTGCAGATTGCACAAACTGAATATCCCTCGGTCACTCCTCCTTTTCCAAGACTATGGTAACTTGAGCCGGTAAGTGCAAAACCATGGTAACGCTGTTTGCCTCGCTCAGAAGACATCCTCATCGTAAGAACACTACGTTAGAAGCAACAGAAGTCAAACGCGGCTTTTCAGGTGAAAATACTCTAATAAAAACATGTTATGAATATTATACTCTATTTGCTATAGAGCCCCCTAAATGCTACACCGTGGCCCTTTAATGTGCCGTCAGAAATCAAATACAACTATAATAATTGAATTGATGTTTAAGTAAAGTAAGTAATTTGTGCACTTCATTTGTTGGGATTTATTAGATATTTGATATTTAGTTTGGGGCAACCATTTAGAATGAATGATATTTAATGTACTCATTCGGTAGGGGAGTCCTCTCAGTGACCCCTAACGGTCCGCGAACCCCATCTTGTGAACCATGTGGCCTAGAGACAGTTGGTCAGTAACGTCTCTGGTCCTTTTTAGATACTCGGCTTTCGGCTTCATATCGCGGTGAACTGGAATGTCTGCAGCGCTCCCCTGTCATCAGAGTGTCTGTCTACGGCATGGAGCGTTGCAGCGCCATCTCTGCCTACAGGTCTAAAGAATCCTGGGGGGCTCTCTCTGCCGTTTCTTTCAGACACCAAATGTAACGTCAAACCTCCCGGTTGAGCTATGAAGACAGAGCAAAGCTGTGTGGAGACGCCGGCGACTCTCCGGGAGGTCCAAGACCTGCTCCAAAAACCGGCGCACGGAGACGAGGATGCCCCGGAGAAGCAAAACGAAAGCAATTACGTCGATTTGGGATTAATGGACGTGAACACAGGCGGGACAAAACCGGAAAACGACTGCGGCATTGGTGAAAGAAACCAAATGTCTGTCCTTATTAACAGCAGTGGCGCCGAAGCTCTGCGCGCAACGGAACCAATCCAGGAGGTGGCGATTAATACCAATATTGAAATTAATAATTCTGGAGTTGGGAAATTTATAAAAAATGTCAAGGAGGGTCCCTCTGATCCATCACACCTCCCCATTCTTAACTCAAAGTCAGAGGTTTGCTTTAAATCCGGAGACGAAGGCGAGCGTGCCACAACGCAGCCCGAGGTGTCCAAAAGAGAAGACAGCAAAAACCCTCCACGGGGTGAGGGATTACACTGTAGTGATAATTATCTGAGCGGGAGAAGTGAGTCGGATGATTATGAGGAGGATGATGATGTTAGTTTGGTGCTTTCCGACGACTGCGTCCCGTGCGTAACGGAGGATGAGTCCCATTATATTACCACGCACGAGATCCAACTCTCGGAGCTCTCTGACCACGAGGAGGACTACGACCTCGGGGTGGGCTCCTCCACCAGCTGGGACGTCGAGGGTGACAACCAGGTGTACTCTTTTGTTGATTACGCCTCATCTGACGGTGATGGGGCTGCGGGGGAGAGGGGAGACGCCGGCCAGCCTCGCTCTCAGGGCGCAGCAGCAGTCAGCACTCAGCTTGAAAGTGATCCGAAGGACGGGGCCAAGTTCACCAGCTCAGATGAGAGTGTGTCAAAGCCCCAGCAGCAGCAGCAGCAGCAGCAGCGCAGTGGCAACAGTGGGGGACAGATCCCAGTGTCAATCAGAACCACTTCTCGAGCTATAAATGACCCTGGCAGCATCCAAGAACAGGGGAATATCCTTTCTCATGCCAGGCACTCCGGGGACGTGAGTCGCTATGTGTTTACAGGGGTTGATGGGAAGGCAGAGACGCTGTGTGACAGGGCGAAGTGTTTCATAGCCGCGCCCGGACGCTTGCACTTTGGCCGCAAATTGAGAGGGAAAGAGGTCACCGGGTATTCCAGCGGTGCGTCCAGCGCTGTCAGCGAGCTGGACGACGCTGACAAGGAGGTGCGCAACCTGACAGCCAAATCATTCAAGAGTCTGGCGTATCCTTACTTTGATGCCATCAATTTCAGCACCTCCAGCGAGTCCTCTGCATCAGAGCATGGAAAAGGGATAAACAGGTGGGCCACGTTTGTCGACCTAAAATATGGCAATATGAACATGTCCCGTGGACTGGACCAAAGTGTGGTTTCCCATCAAAACTCAGGAGCCTCGTTTGAAATAGCCAAGAATGTAGACAATAGAGATTATAAGGGCATCGCGCTGGCGAGCATCAAACCTCCCTCCAGCAAGATCTTCACTCTGAATGGTGACCCTCACAGCCCGTCGTCATCAAAGCAAATCGAGCTGATGGGGGAATTTAGCCAGGGCCACAGCGGAGTGATTAGGCTCACGGAGACTCTGAATTTTCGTTGCAATGTCAAATCAGGAATGTCTGGGGGAGAAAGGCTCACTAAGTTTGCACAAAACGCTGCAGGATCACGTTCCGCAGATGCGGTTACCAACAGTTTGCCAAGCGGCCAGTGGAGAGGGGCCAGCAAGTCGCCCTCTAAAACCATGGAAGACACGCACAAGAAAGCCGTATTCGCCTCGAGCCTGATCAAAAATGTGATTTCTAAGAAGATGCAGTTCGAGCAGGAGCGCAAGATGGAACGAGGGGAGATACGCGAGCCGCATCCGACGCCCTCCCCGTGCTTTGTGCACCAGGAGAGCGACGGCCACAGGGAGAAGGGGAGCAGGGAGCTGCGCAGACAGAGCTCCAAGTTTTCCGAGAGCAGCTCCGAGTACGCCATAATGTGCCTGGATGAATTGGGGGACTTCGTGGACAGCGGCTCGTGTGATACCAGGAGCGACTCTTGGAGACGAGACGCGGCCGCTCTTGCACCTCAAACTAACTTGGAACCGGCCAATGAAGCTGGGATCGCAGCTAAAAAAGGCGAGTTGGAAGCGTCCAAAAGCACGCTGCTTCGCAGCCAAAATAGCGCCTTCAGATGCTGGAAGGACGAGGAGCTAGAGCTTCAAAAGGATCATAAAAACGATAAAACACCGGAGAAGTCGCCCTCAGCTGATGACAGAGAGGGCGAGCAGTACTCAGCGGGAAGCGGCAAACTGACTAAAATGTCACATTTGTTTGTGCCAAGTATCCAACTGCTATCTGGTGACGGAGAAGCCGGACAACAGCTGCAGAGCAGGAATTATTCTCCATATGGAGACGGAGGAGAGATCAAACTGCGCTCTGACAACACCACGTTATACATCGCAGACTCCGGGAGCGCAGCAACATCTAAATCTCCGGAAATTAAAATTAACTTAAAGAGCGTCAGAGACAATATAACTGAGAGTTTTGGCGTCTCCAAACTGCGCGCTCCTAATATAGGCCGTAACGCAGCCAGCCTCATCAGAACGGAAGACTTGAAATGCCAGGCGCTCGCTGCAGCTTTGAAGGGTGAGTCGTCAGATAACGTGCCGCATTTCATGGTTAGAGACATTAGAGATAACAAAGGGAAGCTGCAGACGCCCATTTACCAAGTGAGAGACGTGCGTAAAATGGTTAAAAGTTCCTATCAATTTGTCTCTTTGGATAACAACGAAAATAAATCCGACAGCCACTCAGAGCAAATGAAGCAGATGTCCTATCGGAATCCTAATTCTGTGTCCCCTATAGTGATCAAATGTCAGTCTGTGAATACAAATAGTAACGGGAAACATTCTGGAAATCTCACCGAGTTATCTAAACAGGAACCTGACACAAACAGGTTGTCTCCAGAGGACGCTAAAAATGCTCAGCTGCAAAGGGCAGCAGAGAGAGCACCAGGTAATGATTCCTCAGATGGAGTCATTCGGTTGAGAATTGAAAGCAGAGCGGCTTCAATGAAGCTGGAAAAAATATTGGATGTCACAGATAAGAAACCTGAGTCAAAGATTGCGAACCTGGGGGCTTTGGAAAAACTCCAGGCTGCAGTGAAAACCATGGAGCAAATGTATAAATTTGAAAAAAATGAATGGAAAAGGAAGAATGAGCCCCATCTCCTGACAGACAGCCACGTGCTCTCACTGATAGCCAGTGAGGAGCATGAAGGACTTGAGGAGGACTGTGGGAGAGCGTCCAGCATGGACAGGACAGACAGAAGAGACTCCTATCCCAACAATGACAAGACGCCACCAGCACTGGCGGCGTCGTCTGCCACTGATAGCCTGCTTCGGCGAGAGGACAAAGACCCCTGCTTGGTCTTCCAGACTCCCGGCAGCCGTGAGGACAGGCTGGTTGCGAGGTCAATGCAAGCCACGGGGAACATGTTCAGCCTCAGCTCTAGCCTCAAGCCACAGCCAAACGCCATCACTCAAACACCTTTCAGCACCAAAAGCTTCACCCCTAAGTCCCCAAAATTGCCTGTGTCCTTAAAAGTCAGCCGGACGAAGCTAAGTGGAAATGAAGGAGCCGAATCAAAGGAGGTTGAGCGGTCCACACAGGAGCTCTTTCGCGCCTCAGCTGACAACGAGAACTACCTTACCATTCCGGTAAAGTCTCACTCCAGTAGCAACAAACAAGCCTCATCTGCTGAAAAAACACCAGTGTACACATTTACCACCCAGAGACAACCAATCACTCCTTCAAGACACCTGGGATCTGGCGCCAGGGGCTTTGAAGACCACAACCAGTCCCCTAAACGCTCCAGCATTGTGATGGACACACGCTCACCTGAGATCCCTCCTGCCATCTACCACTCTTTGCCAATGGGCATGTCCACCAGTCAGCCGCAGGTGTACTGCTTCTCTCCGGTGATCAACCCCGCTCCCACCCTGGACCCCTTCCAGGCCACCCAGAGGAAGATGCTTCTGGATCCCACCACTGGGAGCTACTACCTGGTGGACACTCCTGTGCAGCAGGCCACCAAGCGCCTCTTTGACCCTGAAACAGGCCAGTATGTGGACATGCCCATGCCGCAACCTCCCATGACCCCGGTGCCCATACCAATCTCACCTTTGGCCCTCAGTCCAGGAGCATATGGACACACCTACATGATCTACCCGGGCTTCATGCCGACCCCGTCCGTGATCCCAGCCCGGACGCTGGTGCAGTCGCAGATGTTGGTGCAGTCAGAGGCGGAGGGCGGAGGGAAAGCCCTGTCACAGCAGGCTGAGGGCATGTACATGGAGAGTCCCTTCTATATGGCCACTGGAATGTCTCCTCAGGCGGCCTACTGGCCTCAACAGCAGGCTGCCGCAAACAGGCCGCCGCAGGGCTTCTCCAGCATCAAGCAGCCGGTCATCAGCATCACCTCCCAGCAGGGGCCGCGGATCATCGCTCCGCCCTCGTTTGACGGGACCACCATGAGCTTCGTGGTGGAGCACAGATGAATGGCAGCTTACCTGGGCAGGTGAGTAGTTCTGACTGTTTAGCTTGTGTATGTACAGTATCAGGTTTGAGTAGACCTGAGTGAACCAGGATGCTGTATTCTGTCATGTGTATAGGATGACTTCATGATTTGTTCGTAATCATAATTTAAAAAGTGCATTTTGCCGTTGTAAAAAAACTCTTTTAAATCCATTAGAAGCATAGATAACCTCTTCTTACAATATATTCAAATCTGAATTTGCTTTAATTTAATGGTGACAATCATGCATTCTTTTGTCTCCATCAAATCTAGATACGATGCACAAGTGAACAAATCTCTGCACATGTGTTGTTATTTTCTGCTTTTGATATCCAAGGCTGAGAAACTACTCGTGTAATAACAATCACAATAGTTCTAATGTTTCCTCTCACTCTAATAGATAGCACTATTACTTTAGATTGATACTTGTTTTATATTTGTGGCCTAATAAGACACTTCACTGATACATTTTTGCTCTAATGCCACACAAGAGTGAGACTTCAGCAGTCGTTTCCTGCTGGTCAGGTCCCCCTTCAGTCTGAGCATCGAGGGCCACCCTGGTGTGACCTTAAAGCAGAAATGAAGACTGCTGATACTCTCTCCACTGCTTGACATTTTCAGTTTGTTCAGATTCGCTGTACCTCTTTACTTCTTTCCAAGATTCATTTGTATTTCTAGTTATAACAGTTTAGTTCTAGTTGATCAACGTTTTAATGAAGACGCTGTGGAGGCCCACATGTTCAAAATGACTAAATAATTAAGACATTATGAAATAATTATAGTTATATGAATAAATACACACAATATACTGTATACGATATATCCATGAAACTGTGAAAATCCATTACTCATTAAAGCTCACTATCATCAGATGTTTATTTCAAGTCATTTTATTCAATTTGAGCAGTTTTTATATTTAAATGTTCTTTTTCCAAAGTCAGTTTTTATTTCACAACACTAGTTGCCGCCTTGCCAACACTTTGATGAGAGCAAGGTAAGGAAGCTAACTTGTATGGAGACCTAAGGTCCAAACCAAATCACTTGCAGTAAACTCTGTAATTTGGAAAAGTTGCAGGATGAAATAACATTTGATAACAGCAATCTGTTCTAAAGATGTATTATTTTATAGTTTCATTGTAAGTCTTGGTATGATTATTCATTTCCCAATGTCTTATTACTTCATTCTGGACACTGTGTGTCTCCATCGGCCCTCATCTAACCTCAAAAAAGCCTGTAAGTACATAATGGATGGTGGCACTCTATGTGACAATTTAACATCTCCCCTAAATACAGGTTAGTCGGTCTATTTATGAATTTTCTAGTATCATATCAGTTGGAAAAGGGCATTAAGAATGTAACCGATCATGTGCTAGGATTCAACATGCATGCAACAGGAGAAGACACCATGTGATTGTAAAGTTTGCAACTGAGCGTTCACGCTCACAAGCTGTGGATTCTGATACCGCAGCAGTGATACAGAGGATTATATTGATATAAGATTATTCATGGGCGAGGTGTTTGAATGTGTCTTGTGGCCATAGTGTGTGCAGGAGTGAAAGGTCGGGCGATAGCAGGTGTTTGTTATGCGTAAACTCGCACCGCTTCAGCTGCTGCTGGACATCAACAGGCTGCATGGCAGCTCACAGTCAGCTGGCTTTTTATAGGACAGTCATTTAAAGACAGAGAGAGTGAGAAGCCAGGTTCACATGCCTCTGATCAGCAATTACATAAACACAACATGCAGCATAGCAGCAAAACATTTGGAGTTCCCCTTGTCATCGGAGAGAGCCACATACTGGAGGGTTCAGTTATGTTTATAAAGGAAACTGATAGCTTGTAGCCTGATAGTCTGAGGCTGGAGAAATAAATGGGCTTTTGAGTGGAAGGTACAGTAGTTTAAATCCTAACTGGATGCAAAACTGTGTGTGGAGAACGTCAATGAACAATGTTCATGAACTATGTAACAACTACTGTTGTGGTGCCTTTGAGTGTGGAAAGACACCCAAGTGCAATCAGCTGAAGTCAGCAGGACCCTTTAAAGCGCCAGGTCTAACAGGTTTCTCAAGGGTTTCCAAGGAGTCCAAAACAGAATTAGGTTACAGCTTGACTTTGCTGTGATTTTGGCAAAATGATTTTGCTGTGGACAGAAAACACATTACCTGCAGGTTTTAAAAGATGTTTTGCAAGAATACAAACTGTTGAAAGGTGCAAATGAGAGAGTCAGTATGAGGCTGTTTTAGGGATGCCTTAGGTGGCAGACTGACATGCAGGGGAAATGAATTGTTTCCTAATAACCAAATATATCAAAGTTCGATAATGTCAAAACAATGTTGGCATTGATTAGTCTGCAAAATCTGAGTGTACATCAGTGGCCTCAAAAATTCCCCCCAAATCAGAAAGGACAGGACGATAAGCCACGCCGTGATGTTCATTACTTTACTTATTTATCTTGTTTTGCACTTGCACCTCCATTCTATGCACAGTGCTGCTTGATATATGTGCTCTCATGTGTATGTCACATATAGGGGCTTACATGGTTTCTATGTTATTCATTTTTATTTTGGAAATCCTTCAATCTGGAAAAGACTTTGTGCTGAAGCTTGAAAAGTGCAGCAGCACGACGGCCTGTGGTCCCGTAGTCAGTGACCCGACGTGCTGCTGCACTCACCCCGTTTGTATTTGTTGTGTATTTTTAGCCACTGAACTATGAGATGGGTTGCTATGACATTTTGTACATACATTCAAGGTCCCCTCAGGATGAGTTGTAACAGCTTTGGTGATTCTCTGACGGTAATCCTATTAATCATCAGAATTATGAAAATTTGAATTTGTCCAATACTTTGGTTTATGACCAAATACTGCAGAACTAATGATATCAAATGTTATCATGCTAACATGCTAAACTAAAATGGTGAACATAGCAAATGTTACACCTGCTTAATGGTGGCATTGTAATTGGAGCATGTTAGACCGCTGACCTTAGCATTAGCATTAGCATTTGCACCTATTTGCAATTAGAATTTCGGCTAATAAAGCTTTAGTCAACAGACAAGACATTCTGTGGGAAAGGTTTTTTCTTCTCATTTATTTGTATTTGTTTGACAGATTGTTTTTCTGTCCTTTTAGTAATATGACCTGCCAACCATTTAAAAAAGGGAACATCAAGCGTGTACAAGTATGTAAATAAAGAACCTTTAAGGGACTAAAATATCATCTAAATGCTACTTTGAGAGCTGTTCACATCTCCAATTCTTTCAGTGGTTCAAATAAGCGAAGTAAGCGAAGTTGTTGAGGAATACAACGCATTTGACAGATTGCAGTCTGGTTTCGATTTGCTTTTCCTCAACGTAACAAATAGCATCTTATTACAATCCAACTAGTGAAAGGCTACATCTTAGTTCTGGATTTAAGCACTGCGTTTGATACCATGGATCATAATATTCTGTTAGATTCTCTGAGGAAGTGGGTTGGAATAACTGAAAAATAACTTAAATGGTGTTCTTCCTACATATCGAATCGCCAGTTCTCATCGGTGAGAGATTGTATGGTTGTGCGCCTCTGCCCTGTTTTATTCTCCGTTTAAATGCTCCATTAGGGTGAATTATCCCTAAATGAGTCTGTGTTTCTTGTCATTCCTATGCTGATGATGTCCAGCTGTATGTATGTGTTCAACATGAGGAACTTTCAAACCATTTGACCTTTTACCTAATTGTCTTAAAGGAATAAACACCCACAAAATGACCATTTGTATATCAATTTTATATAGTTCTTTATATGAATATATAATGCTTGGTGAGGAAAATGTGACCCTATCATCCTATTGTGCACAAATGAAACATGTTACATGTGGAAATTCATGGCAATCAATGCAAATAGGTTATAAGTAGATTTAAGCTGATTATGTGTTGGTATAAACTTCGTGTCTGTTTTGTTCTCTAGGTTCCCAACAGGGCTGAACTCTGAGTGGATGCTGGGCTGCTCTGGCTCTGGGTCTCTTCGTTGTGCTCCTTTAGTTTTTGGCTGGAGGTGATGGATCAGGGCCCTTTGATAATATGGCTTATTTTCCTCCAGTTTCACCTTTTCTAACTTGTACAAGATGTGTATGAATATGTATTTTTTGTTTTATAAAACCACATTGTAAAGAAAATGAAAGACTAAATGTGTAGCCTTGTATTGCATTGAGTTTGCTTGCACAGTTTTCAATCACCCCCTAAAATAATCTGGGAATTGTAGTTTTATGTAATTTTGTAATTTATCTTATTTTACAACACAACTTTTATGATGACTAAATTTAGCATTATATCTATATCAGCTTACATTTTCTTACATCTCTTGTGTGTTGGATTTTATGCAGTGTCTATTGCTTTAAAATGCGCAAAAGTCAGCATTTACCATTATGTTTTATTATGAACCTGGAAATATCATGATTAGTAAATCAACCTTGCTGAATTCATTAACATAATCCGATTAATGCACGATGTGTGTTGAACCTATACAATAATAGACATTCTGGGGATTGCTCATTATGCATTTGTCCTGCATGTATAGCAGAATGTTCAATTCATGTCTGACCTGTCTCATGTACTTTCTAGCGGTTCGACATGTATTTCTACGTGTAAAACTGTTTAGTACTTTAGTATTTTGACACTGACTTACTGTTTTGTACTTCAAATGGTTGAGAGTGTGGATCTGCTGGCCAGTCCATCCTTTCCTTTTGAATCAAGTTTGCTACTTTACTGTCTTTTTGCGAGGACACTAAAAAACCCAGTCGAACCCAACATCAAACGTTCTTTTATAATAACTGCAGTAACAATGATGATATTGTTATAAAAGAATACCACCTCATTTGTGAAAAGATCATAGTGATTTCTGTTAAAAGTCTCATAAAGAATTGAAAGATATTGTATTGTATTGAGATGAATGGATTATAAAGGTTGTGTTGATGTTTTCATTTGAATTAAGATGTTTGCTGCTTTCTGAGCTGGTGAAATGTTTTAATGTAGAAAATGCTAAATCATGGTCACTGTTTTGGATGTAAACATTGCTTCATCGCTGGCCTGACCGCAGCCTTTCAGCTTCTTATAACTGTGAGGAACATATTGTACATTCTGATTGGAAAAAGTCTAAATTAAAGGAGGCTCAGTTTCCCAACGTACAAAAACGTTCTGACTTGCTTTTACTGGAAGATCATTTCTTATAGTTGCTGAAGTATATGGCAGAAAAACCAAAAGATTGATAAACATATTAAGTGCATTGATACAGCAAGCAAATAGATTCCTAATTATTAATAGGAGTGGCTGAATTAATAATGTGCCAAAACAAGATTCCAGTTGTGCTCAGTCAAGATGCATTGACGGGAGTGATACGACCTCTGACCTTCAGAATAACAGTGCATCAGATTTGAGGTAAAGTTACTTGTTATTTACAGTATGCTCACTAAATAAAAAGCATAAATTCATAATCAACGTTAGGAAAACATAACACTGTAATGTGTGTGACCATGAGCCACTCAGAGAGTATACATTACACACTGAATAAGTCCTGTTTGAGTCATTAAGTCATTTATATAAAGTAGAATCCAGGCTTGTTTTTAACAAATGATAATTCCCTACTTTTATTCTGAATATCAGATGCATATTCCTGAACTTGTAATCAAACATCTCCCCTAAACTACGTACTCGGTTTAGTTTAGCACTGTTTGTACTGTTTATCAATCGGTTCCCTTGGTTTACTTAATCTGTGTGTTTTCAATACTGAAGGCATATCTCACCACCAAGACAAATAAAACCAAACTTATCTTAACTCAATGTAATGTTTTAGTCTTCCAAAACGATGTACATTTTAGAAAAGATCACAAATGATTTACTCTTTAATTTACCTTCAGTAGTTTTTCATCCATTCACTGGCCTCTTCACGCCAACAGGTCACACTGGTGGTTATCATTTATTCAGACAAATCTTTCATTGCCTTGTTTTGGGGTTGTTGCAGCACTTTGCAAGTCATATTGCAGCAGTTTTTTTTAATGTGCATTAAACGAAGAGCTTGCTTATCCTTGCGAGAGGAACAGTACAGTGTGTTGTATAGAGGAGTTTAGTTCTGCACAAGTGTAAATACCTTTTTCACAGGTGTCGAGGAAGAGCAGATGTTCTGATGCATATCATATTCAAAGCCTTGCACAAGGACACTCAAATAGGGTGGGGCTTTGAAACGATGAACTTTCTGAACAGACAGTATGTGTTGTGAAGGCAAAAGAAAGTGGAGAAAAATTTAGGAAGTTTGTGACTTTTGGAATGAGTGGACTTTTAATTTGGATTAAATGTAAGATGCATAGCAGGGAATGGGTTGAGATGTAGAAATGAAACAATGAAAACTCTGATCCAACTTGAAAGTGATGGTCAAATGAAGGCTTCCTTTAAATTTGTAATTTTTGTAGTTTTTTTAAATGTAAAGTGTCATTTCAAAACTGTCAAGAATACCGCGAGGGATGATTCATCAGACACTAATGTTAAATACGTGAACATGTAATAAACATGAAAGCCTTTTGCAGACCTCTCGTTTGTGTTTTTGAACCTGTTGATTGTTATGTGAATATGTGATTACTGCATGAAGGCACATTAAGTACAAATTAACTGAGTTAGTTTCCCCCTTTTCAAAGTAATACCAATGAATTTATAAATGTATGATTCATGTGGTGGAGCACAGGCTCTCTGTGTCCCCTACAGGTAAGCTGCCACAATCGTTGCCTCCATCCTGGATTTGTCTGGAGTCAGAGTGCCACAGAAGTGAGCCTACTGGCCTCATGAGCTGTTGTTCATCAAGACTATAGATTAACTATTATCCCCTGCTTCCAGTCTTCATGCTAAGCTAGGCTAATCACGCCCTAACTCTTGTTTCAGGCCTAGACATTTTTTCATCTCACTCTTGGAAATAAAGCAAAGAAGTGACTTTCCCAATATGTTGAAGTATACCTTTAAGACATTTATTAGCTGGTGTGGAAATGGAATGAGCACTTTCTGGAGGCAGACATGATGTGATATGTTATGAAGTCCAATCTGTCCTGTTGAGGACTCTCTTTAGAATCAGTTGCTTGAATCAGTTGACCAAAAAATAACTTGTGCCATTCAGCACTGACAATGTACCGCTGTGTTTGCGAGGCTGAAAACTGTCTTAGCAGTGATGATGTTGGAATGTGTGCTGAAGCAGTCAGTGTTAAAGGCTTATCTGCTGGCTGTGGGCGCATATAGAAACTGGATTAGGAGGGGATGCAGGTGGATGGACGCAGGATCATGTTGCAGAGCCCGAACTGTACACACAGAGTCCCAGTGTGTCTGCAGCCCATTCCATTAGAACCAAAGCCAACACACACACACACACACACACACACACACACACCTACATAAGCATGTGGTTATTTTGCAATGCTCTTTTTGATTGCAATGTCAACAGATCAGAATCAGAAATGTCTTGATTAATAATTAATTTATCTCTTGATTTTTGTTGGACCAACTGAATTTAACTCTGGTAAAGTACAATCTTGATGATCCTTATGTGAGTGTAAAGTGCCATGGGTACAACAAGTGTGTAATAAACTACATTAAACGCTCATATAACATTAAAGGCCACTTGTCAAAGTACAAAACAGTATACAAGACAAGTCAACCTGCTGGTTAACAAGGCATCGTTGCTCAGTGGACAATGATGTGGACATGTTCATGTTCTAAAGGTCTGTAAACTACAAGTAGCCTACAGGTCGGATCGAACAGGATATAACTGTTTCTTTAACTTCCTGTTTATTCTTTGAAGGCGGTTGAAAACTCTCCGACCTCATCGCAGTTTTTTTTGTCAACGCCACCTGCTGCTATACCGCCTGCTCTCATCCACCTTCCAGGTGAGGCGTTGAGACGTTTGATATGTAGAGGAACTTAATAGGTGGATGCATTATGTAGCAATATTGATATTTTCTTGCCAGGATTAGCATCCCCCTGTTATTTCAGCAAAGATTAATGTTACAGATGTGATAGGTAAGCTTTTGGCCAAGTGATGTCACTATCTCAGTGTTCCCTCTCCATGTAAACTCTGCCCTCTGCCTCTCATGCAGGCAGGCACACACTGCATTAACAGCTGATATATGTAGGTAGCACTGCAAGATCTCACATTTTATCCCCACAATGAATTGCCTAGTAGCCTCCTTACACATGTATACAATTCATACTGACCACTAAAACAGCCCACAATATCAGCTGGTGACACTGTACTGTATGTAAAGGGACTGAACAGATTGACGGTATTGATGGTAAAACCATTTGACTTGTAGGTCTCTAAGACAAAGTTAAGGGATGAATGCTATTCCACCTCTACTCCTCCCAAGCCAGAAATATATAGAACCTCCTCAAAATGTTTAAAACAATCTTTTTGAAATTCGATAGACAGCAGCCCTCAAAGTGTATTTGGAATAAGACGACCGTCAAACAATTAAATGACCAGAAAGACCCAACAGGACTGAATAATTTAGCATGAACGTGAACCAGAACAACAAACACACATGTAGCCTACTTGTAATTGACTGATTAAAGAATTACACACAAGTCAAACGTTTTTAGATGTAGGAAACTCCACACAGCGCTGGCTCTGGAACCAAGCTCCTGGAGAGAGGTTGGACTTTGTCCTTTTCCGGAGTTGCCCAGGGTGAGAGGCGCCGGGCGGGAGTGGGTATACTCACGAGCCCCCGGCTGAGCACCGCTGTGTTGGAGTTCTCCCCGGAGAACGAGAGGGTCGCCTCCATGCGCCTACAGGTTGCGGGGCGCAAGGCTCTGACTGTGGTTTGTGCTTATGCACCAAACAGCAGTTCAGAGTATCCGGCCTTCTTGGAGTCGGTGGGAGGGGTCCTGGAAAGGGCACCACCTACCGACTCCATAGTTCTCCTGGGGGTCTTCAATGCTCACGTGGGCAATGATGGAGAAATGATGGAGGCGGGGGGTGATTGGGAGGAACGGCTTGCCCGATCTGAACCCGAATGGTGTCTCGTTATTGGACTTCTGTGCTTGCCACGGTTTGGCCATAACGAACACCATGTTCGAACATAAGGTGGCTCATAAGTGTACCAGGTACCAGAACACCTTAGGCCGGAGATCAATGATCGACTTTGTAATCGTATCATTTGATTTGCGGCCGTATGTCTTGGACACTCGGGTGAACAGAGGAGCAGAGCTGTCAACTGATCACCACCTGGTGGTGAGTTGGATCAGATGGCAGGGGAACCGGTTGGAAAGACCCGGCAAGCCCAAACGTGTAGTGAGGGTGAACTGGGAACGTCTGGCGGAGGACCCTGTCCGGGAGGTCTTTAACTCCCACCTCCGGAAGAACTTCTCACACATCCCGAGGGAGGTTGGGGACATGGAATCCGAATGGACCATGTTCAAAGCCTCTATTGTGGACGCGGCCGCTAGGAGCTGTGGCCGGAAGGTCATCGGTGCCTGTCGTGGCGGCAACCCGAGAACCCGGTGGTGGACACCGGAGGTGAGGGAAGCCGTCAAGCTGAAGAAGGAGACCTTCAAGGCCTGGTTGGCCAAGGGGTCTCCCGAAGCAGCTGACAGGTACCGGCAGGCCAGAAGGGCTGCAGCTGCGATGGTCGCGAATGCTAAAACTCGGGCATGGGAGGAGTTCGGGGAGGTCATGGAGAAGGACTTTCGGTTGGCCTCAAGGAGGTTCTGGCAAACCATCCGACGGCTCAGGAAGGGAAAGCAGGGCTTACCCCAGGCTGTTCTCAGCAGGGGGGGGGAACTGCTGACC